GGTTATATTCAAGGCTCTTTAGGAGAATGAGATCCATCATTGTTACTGGTATTTGGCATATTTGGTACGCCATGGGGAGTTTGCCAGACTCTGCCCTGTGGGCAGGCTACATTCTCGATACCCCGCAAGTTTGTCCAAAGTAGGAATGAGATAATAAGATGTCATAAAAAGATGTCCTGATAAGATGTTGCGTGGCCGCGTATGCGGCCGCGCGGTTCCAGAAACTGGATTTTATAGCCTCTGAGTCTTGGCCGTTGATGGGATTACACGGCGCCAGGGGGCCAGGTGGTGGGTGTGACCCCCGCCTACTGGAATTTGGAGGATCTGGGTGGAGGATGCTTGACTCCAATCCGACTAGGCTTGGAGATCTCGGCCCCGGAACCCGCGTGGATTTGTCCCTCTGCCAGATTAGTCCTTCCTAATCCCAGCAGGTCCTCAGGCCAGATTAGTCCTTCCTAATCCCAGCAGGTCCTTATCCAGTTGGTTCTCTTTGGATCATGAGAGAATTTGTCCACAATTATGCTTTCAATTTATAGTTAAGTATTTTGGCGCTTGGTCTGTCCTGTTTTGATGCCAGGGTAGCTCACAGCTTGCCCTGGGTCCATCCAGTTGCTTCATCGGGAACCTGCTTTTGGGGTACTAGGAACTGAGGACAACTGAGGTTTAAGTTGAGCAAATATGACAGATGCCCAGGAGTGAATATTATACAAAGTCAGTGAACTCCCAAGTTTGAAAGGCATGCCACTAACTGTCTTTCTGTGTCTACACAAGAAGGACATTGCTCTAAAGTAAACTATGCAAAGGACATAAGGTGATTTCCTGAGAAAAGCAATCTTTCACTTACAGATACAAAATCCGGAGTGCTAGGAAGGATCTGACCTTACAAGTCACAGGGTCTGATTTGGGGATATAGGTGAATAATAGGTAGGGGAAGCAGAGCACAGAGGAGAAGTCAAAGATAAACACTGAGGAATGGGAGTGCCTCGGGAGCACTGTGGTGGGTGTCACCCAAAAAAACTAAGCTCCCTGCAGCGAGGGAGAAAGGACAAACCAATGTTACCCTACAGCACCTAAGATGACTTATGCTAAAAAGGCTCTTCAAAGACTCGTTGGTCTCAAAATTCCCTCCCATCTACCCTCCCTTGTCTCTGTGTCGTGGTGGCCTGACTCTGGTGCTTGCACATGGCTTGCTGTGGTGCTCGGAGCGGGTGGGCTGCGTGGCTCTTCGGGCTGGCTGCAGTGCTCACTGAGGTTTGCAGTCCTGCAGCTGGGGAACTCGCGCACACACTCAGTCGTGGGGCACGGTTATGGGGGTGGTGCTCACTAGGGTCCCTGTCTGCTCACACATGCTCCCCAGGGCTCTCCCTGGGGCTTGCACATATTGTTTTTCTCATAGTTGTGGTCTGCGTGGTGGTTACACCCCTTTTTATGGCATTTTGTCGTATTTCCACACGCTTAGCTATGGCATTCTTTCTTTTTTGGTTTTGTGGCTATACCCAGTGATGCCTAGAGGTTACTTCTGGCTCTATGCACTCAGAAACTGCTGGTGTTGCTCAGGGAACCTATGGGGTGCCAGGATTGAACCCGAGACAACTGTGTGCAAGGCAAACGACTTCCCCACTCTGTTGTCACTCTGGCCCTCACATTTAAAAATTCTTATCAATGGGGGCTGTGGCAATAGCACAGTGGGTAGGGCATTTGCCTTGCACACGGCCGACCCAAGTTCAATTCCCAGCATCCCATATGGTCCCCCGAGCCCTGCCAGGAGTAATTTCTGAGTGCATGAGCCAGGAGCAACCCCTGTGCATCACCGGGTGTGACCCAAAAAGCCAAAAAAAAATTCTTATCAGTGATGTCTTAAATTGTTGTTTCTGCTTCACATTTGCCTCCCTATTTTCAGGAACTCTGATGATTCTTATTTTGCTCCACTTGAACTCATTCCACAGTTCTCTGGCATGCGGTTCATTTCTTTACAGACTGATTTCCACCTTCTGTTGTTTCTTAGCAGTTTCCTCCTCACCTTAAAGCTCAGCTGCTGTTAATCTGCCAATCAGCACATCTGTTGACATATATATATATATATATATATATATATATATATATAGCACAGCGGGTAGGGCGTTCGCCTTGCACGCAGCCAACATGGCCGACCCGAGTTCGATTCCTCCGCCCCTCTCGGAGAGCCCGGCAAGCTACCGAGAGTATTCGATATGCCAGACACAGTAACAACAAAGTCTCCAATGGAGACGTTACTGGGCCCGCTCGAGCAAATCGATGATCAACGGGAGGGCCTTTACCTTTACCTTTTACCCTGCTCTTCATTTCTCACATTTCTGACTATAGTAGTTTTTCATTTCAATTCTTCTATTTTCTAGTGCTTTGCTGACTATCTCTGTCATTGTTTCTTGGAGCTTGTTGAACATCATCATCATGTCGCTGAAGACCCTGTCTGAGGATTTACTGGCGTTGTTTATGTCTTCAGTAATATTGTGTTTCACTCACTGAGCTTAGTGGGCTTTTACTTGCTTTCCACCATTGGTTTTCGAGTGCTTTTGCTGTGCTAGGGGGAAAGGATTTCTCTCTTTCTTATCTATCCCTCGTTACCGGATAACAGTGAGCAGTGTGTCATTTGTTATGTAGGTCAGTGTGTGGCTCTCCAGGAGCTGTGGTGTGGGCTGCTGGGATCTGGCCAGAGGTCAGGGCACTGCTTCCTGCTTTAGATTAGCTGGTGATGTCAGTTAGAGGCAGCCAGAGAGAGAGAGAGAGAGAGAGAGAGAGAGAGAGAGAGAGAGAGAGGTACAAGAGAGAATATAGGCTTCTCTGGAGCAGAAAAAGCAGAGGATGGCTCTTGGGAGAAGGTTATACACTCTTTCTCCAAATTGTCTTGGCCTGCAGTTTTCTGTGTACATGATAGTGAATCAGGGCATTGCACAGGGCAAGTTTGGAGTCTACTGTTTTCATTCCTCTGTTTATTCTATTTTGGTTTTGTATGAATTAAATTTTTTAATTTAATCAGTTAAAAATAAAAAACATGTGTCAGTTTCATGAAGGTTTTCTTACTGTGATCTTGATTAGAACAGAATGGAATAAACTTTAATTCATGAAGTCTTACTGTCCAAGTTTTATTCAACTTTATTTTTGCTTATGGTTTCTATGTCATGTCTTTGCTTTCTACTTAAAAGTTTTTTTTTATCATATTTACATATAAATAGGTAGGTAGATAGTCTCCTTATAGTCTTTCTTTGCCTATAAACTATTACAGCCTTCACAAGCTTCCCAGAATCATTTTGCTTTCTTTTGAGTTAATTCATAAAGTCTTACTGTCCAAGTTTTATTCAACTTTATTTTTGCTTATGGTTTCTATGTCATGTCTTTGCTTTCTACTTAAAAGTTTTTTTTTTATCATATTTACATATAAATAGGTAGGTAGATAGTCTCCTTATAGTCTTTCTTTGCCTATAAACTATTACAGCCTTCTCAAGCTTCCCAGAATCATTTTGCTTGCTTTTGAGTCATATCAAGCTGTGCTCTGTCCTTATTTCTGGCTCTAGGATCCACTTCTGGTGATGCCTGGGAAACTTATGCAATGCTAGGGGGGTCTAACCGGGGCCACTGTCTCAAGGGAAGGGCTTTATCCCCTGTACTATCCTTCCTGCCCCAGAATAAGTTTGTTGTTGTTGTATTAATTTATTTGCATAAAGTTGTTCACAACAATTCTTTTATTTATTTATTTATTTTTTGCTTTTTGGGTCACACCCTACGATGCACAGGAGTTACTCCTGGCTCATGCACTCAGGAATTACTCCTGGCGGTGCTCGGGGGACCATATGGGACGCTGGGAATCGAACCCGGGTCAGCTGCGTGCACGGCAAACGCCCTTCCCGCTGTGCAGTCACTCCAGCCCCCACAATTCTTTACATTCAACATTTCAGCACCAGTCCTACCACCATTGCACCTTCTCACCACCATTATTTTGAATTTTCCCACCACCATCCAAGCTTTTCCCAGAGGCAGATGCTAAAAATAATTTATTTTGTGTTGCTTGTTATGCATAGTATGAGATGTTGTGTGACTACGCACTCCTGGAATTCTAGGATATATATTTTTTTAAATATGTGGGGTCTAGAGGCATTTCTGTGGCATGCTGCTGTCTTCCAAGATTTATTTGTGAGTCTCTGAATCAAGCGTTAATGCGCTTAAATGGTGCCCCACAAGCAGTTTCTTGAGCGTGACAGCCAGGGAACCAACCGGAAAAGTGGGGAGACGCGAGGGGAGGTCACCCATCCCTAACTCCATGAAGCCTGGAGTTTTCAATCACTGGTCCCACATACCTGGGTTATGCAGCAGATTCATTCTCATGTGTGGGGGGGCTCAGATGAGCCTGTGAAGGTTGGCTCTGAGCATGGCGGCAATTGGGTTCTGGAGGTTTGCAGCTGCCGGAGTTCATTGGGGCAGGTGGAGGGACACACCGCCCCCCCCCCCCCCAAAGGTGCCCTGGTGAAATCAGACTGGCACAGGGTTGGGAGACTTTTCTGTAGCGTGCTGTTCTCTCCCAAGATTCATTTGTGAGTCTCTGAATCATGGCCATTTGTGCACTTAAACAAACTGCTTTTGGCATCTTTTGAGGTTTATTTATGGGTCTCTGAAGCAAGGCCCATAAATGAGCCGCAGGTAGTCTGTGGGCATGACTCCCACATACCTAACTTTTGGCCATTTAATTTCTCGGGAAACTTGGTCCCAAGTTTTTGGGGTCCGGCACAGCAGCAATTTTGGGGTATCGGGAAGCCTGAAGACAGCATCAGGCTGCTGATGCACTTGCTCCACTGTGTGGCACTGTGCCACTTTTTTTTTTAATTGAAATGGCATAGCATTCCAAAGGCTGTAATTTTTAGGTGTTTCTGGTTGAGAACTAGCGTGTGCATTCCCTCTCCAAACCGACAACCTCCCTCCCACATCTCGGAACCTTGTTAATGGTTTTCTCCTGGTGTCCTTCTTCCTAGCATACTCTCAGAAAACCAGGACACAGACAACATACCTCTCTTAGCAGATAGATTAAGAAATACATTCAAAGCAAACAAGACGAGGATTGCATTTGCCATAACGAAGACATTTCCTTTCCTTGAAACTCTTCGTGACAATGAACTCATCACCGAAAACATTTATAAAGTAAGTGAAGAATTCCGTGTCATGATATACTTCTGCTGGCTCCAATCTAGGTTTTGCTTTGATATCCTGAACCAAAAAGTCAGGTCGCAGCTAGCCAATTGAGCAGTCTCTTATAGGGGGTGGGTAGGTTGGGGTAGCGGGGAGAGCTTTCAAGTATTGTTCAAAGTGTAGAGGTTTAAGTGTTGGTCAAAGGAGAGGAAAAGCATGTTCCATCTAAGATAGCCCTGCGTTGGGGTCCCATGGTGCCCAGTGTACTTGAGGTGAATAGCTCTGGAAACTGGCTGAGTCTAAGGTGTGTGCCCCACTAACAGGCCATTATTTCTATAGTGTACAACTATTTGCTCCATCCATGAATCATTTCTTCCAGGATTTCAGACACCGTTGCATTAACCAGGAATTAGAAGGACTTTCTAATACTTGAGTTAATTGGGAAGAAATGTTTTCTCTACTTTCCCAGTCAGTTTTTTCCTCCCCCCAACAGCCCCCACCCCAGGCTCAAATTTGTGCTTTGTTTCATCAGTAGGGTTGAAATTACATAGATTCAAGTCTTATTTTGGCCTCAATTTTACGAAGCGGCTGGGTGGCAGGGGCAAGGAGGTTAAGACAAATATCATTCCACTTCCCTGAGTCCCTGCAGGAAGTCCTAGTCAGCTGACTTGGCAGAGATGGTGATGTGGAAGGAGCGATTCTTGGCCAACTGCTCCTGCCATTCAATGTCAGGACCCAAGTATATCATTGCGCAGGGCCTGAATTTCCAGGGGGAATTACCCAACAGGGCTAGATGGTCTCAAGGTCTGAGTCCAGAGGTGCTTGGGCAAGTATGTTGTGCTGGGGGTTGAACTTATGTTAGTCACATGCAAGGCATGCACCTAACTCCTCTATGACCTCTCCAGCCCAAACATCTGGGCCTTTAAGGACTACATCTTTAACTTTGAGCCCACTTTTTCTCTCCACATTTCTTCTTTTTTGTTACTGTAGCACTGTAGTACTGTCCTCTCGTTGTTCACCGATTTGCTCGAGCAGGCACCAATAACGTCTCCATTTGGGAGACTTGTTGTTACTGTTTTTGGCATATTGAATATGCCAAGGGGAGCTTGCCAGGTTCTGCCATGTGGGCGGAATACTCTCGATAGCTTGCTGGGCTCTTCGAGAGGGAAGGAGGAATCGAATCCAGGTCAGCTGTGTGCAAGGCAAATGCCCTACCTGCTGTGCTGTCGCTCTATGCTTTTTTTGGTCACATATAATGTAAATGTAGGTAAAGAAATAGATTCACAGCAGGTATTTTTTCAGCAATTTTATTATAGATAAGAACTTGAAGATGTATGTTCTTGTACAAAGATTACTGAGTGGTCGTTTAAAATGTGGCCATAAATACTTGCCACAGAACTACCATATTTTTAACAAAACGTTTCATTATGAAAGAATTCCCTGCTGGTTGGAAGTTACAAGTATGTGGAGGCGAAGGGCAGTTAGGAGAGGGGATCAGTATGACAATAATAGTTAGAAATGATCACTCTGGACAAGAACTGAATGTTGAAAGCAGGTAGAGTGGTATGATAATCTTTTGGTATCTGTATTGCAAGCCATAAGGCCCCAAAAGAGAGACAGACAGACAGAGAGTAAAAGGAACAGAGAGAGAGAGAGAGAAAAGAAAAGTACCTGCCATAGAGGCAGGCAGGTGATGGAGGAGGGGAGGGAAACTGGGAACATTGGTGGTAGGAAATGTACTCTGGTAACGGAATGGGTGTTGGAATGGTGTATGACTGAAACTAATCATGAACAACTTTTCAACTGTGTATCTCACTGTGATTCAGCGAAAGAAAACAAGGAAGGAAGAAAGAATTCTCCGTCACATCTTTAAGAAGGGTAATTTTAAGGAGGAAAAATTTGTTATGCATAGGAATACATAGAAATTCTATAACTTGACCTGAGAAGGTCATGGCTGCTTCTCCTGGAAGGAAGCATAAGATGAGGCTCCCATAACCACACCACTGGACTTCATACCAGGGGTGCCCCAGAGGGTGGAGGTGATCGGTGAACATTAACAATTATTTTCTTGAACTCATCTGTAACTTATGCATCTGTATTTCTGTCTACTCAATCAATGTATTTCTTTAAGGAACTTCAAAGTAATGAAAAGAAGGGTGTTGGTGCATTTCAAGTGGTGTACTGTGCTCTGCAAGCCGTGGAGGAGAAGTTTCACCCTCAGCATCTGAATATATTGTTCAATGAAGTCCACCGGACTGTATATCCCAACTTACAGCCCGTTTTTGAAACCTTAAAAAATGGTAATGAGCTTCATTTCCTACTTTGCTGTCCAGGGTCAATTTGTTTGGACAAGTATGGGATGAGCTCCCAGCCAATGCCACACACTGCTGGGTAGCCGGGGCTAGCAGTGAACAAAACACATGTCCCTGGGAGGGCCAGGGGTTAAGCCCCAGACACCAGCATGGATAGCCACAGAACAGAACCAACCTCCTCCCCAAAAACCTATTTCTCTGCCAGGGACTAATTTTGGTGCTATCTAAAACTAGGAATTCTTTTTTTTTGAACAGTAGTATTCCTCGGCCACATTCCTGGTTTTATTTATTTATTTATTATTAGTGAAACACCATGAGGTACAGTTATAGACTTACAAATTTTTGTGCTTGGGTTTCAGTTATACAATGATCAAGTACCCTTCCCTCCACCAGCGCCCATTCTCCACCACCATGGGTCCCAGCATCCCTCCCACCCTCCATCCCTCCCATCCCACCCTGCCTCTGTGGCAGGGCATTTCCTTTTGTTCTCTCTCTCTCTCTCTCTCTCTTTCTCTCTCTGCTTTTGGGTCCTGTGGTTTGCAAGAGAGGCATTGAGTAGCAATCATGTTTGGTCTATAGTCTACTTTCAGCATGATTCTCCCATCCTGGGAGGATCCTCCCAGCACCCTTTATTTTCCTGAAATGACCATCACTTCTGTTTCTTAATGGTACTCAATTAAGAGAATGATTGAATGTTTGAATTGATGTGTATGTGTATATTCATATACCTGCTTGTGATAGTGTATACTCATATACATATAAAAAGACATTTCCCACCCACCACCATTGTCCTCCATTTCCCCACCCCCCCACCCCCAGCCTCCATCTGTGGGAGGTGCTTTCTTTCTTGCTCTCTCTCTCTCCTTTTCCTTTTGTGCATTATGGTTTGCAATACAGGTGCTAAGAGCTCATGGTGTTTGTTCAGGGCATTCGATATTTTTATTGGGACAGCGAGGCTGGAGTAGCTTTTCGATTGGGTGAAAACCTTGGGGTGTGGATGTGACTGCCAAGGCTTCTGGAAGTACAGGGAGGTGGGGGAAGGTGGCCCATCCTGACCCCAGGAAAGCCTGGAGATTTCAGTCACAAAACCCACATACCAAAATTTTCAGCAAATTGTATCTTGGTGAGGTTTGTCCTAAGACAGTGGAGTCAGGCCCGGGGTCTGGCCGCGATTTTGGACTGTGGAAGCCAGCGACTGCTGAGGGCTCTGCTTGGCTGGGGACAGGCCAACCTGTCCCCCCTCCAATTTATCCCAGTCTCTTCAGCCATGAGTGGGTCCAAGCTTAACCACAGCTTTTGATCTCTTTCGAGATTTATTTATGGGCCTCTAAAGCAAGGCTGGCAGTAGAGCTTACAGCATGGTGCTGAGTTGGTTCGTGGGGGTGACTGCCGTGCTTCCATGAATATTGGAAAGTAGGGGGAAGTAGCCCACCCCAACTCAGAAAAATCCTGGCGATTTCAGTCACAAAACCCACATACCAGAATTTTCAATAGATTATATCTTGGTGAGGTCCATCCTGAATTGGTGGAGTCCAGGCCCGGGGTATGGCAGTGATTTTGTGTTGTGGAAGCAAGTGGCTGCCGAGGGCTCTGCATTCACCCCACAGGTACAGGTTGACCTGCTGGCAGCACCGCACCCCCATCCTTCACTCTTTTCCGTGTTAATTTTTTATTGAAGCACCGTCATTTACAGTAATATCAAAGTGATTATTTTATAGCTACAGAGCCCTCTCCAGTGATTCCCGAGCCCTCCAGCATTATCTGAGGGTCCCGTCCTGCTCCACCCTTAGCTCCGGGTTCAACCATCCATATGGCTCAGGATTTGTTCCATTGGGAATTGTCTATTCCTTCCTCTGTTTAGACTCTGCATCTAAAATACTTTCCAGCGGAAGACAGTTTGGCTCCAATGAAGATGTTCCATTCTGGAATCAAGGAACCTCCTGGGGGCAGTGTTTGCACCCCACCTCCTTGGCCTTTTATGGGGGGGATCGGGGACTTTGGCCCTGTTGTTCTTTTTTGGATCTTTCCTTCAGTTTCACCAGGATGCATCTGGCTCTTGGGGTGCCAAAGCCTACAAGGTTCCTGCACTCCCATCCACCAAACCCTTGGTCCCTCACCAAGTCCAAGTGGCCTCATGCCCCAGGAGGGCTGCTCCAGCCCCTCCACCTGCACCCCGCTTCCCTGCAGAGACCCAGCCTGAGGCCTGTGGGCTTGTGTTTTCCTCATATATCTTAGGCACCTCCTCCATGCAGGGCCCTGGGCTGGGGTCCTGGCCCCACTGCTTGGCACTCCTAGGGGTCTCCTGGTCTTGGGGGGGTCTCATATCCCCTCCAGTGTGGTGTGCTCCCCTGCTTGGAACATCAAGGGTCCTTCATTTTTCTGAGAGCAGCCCCTTGGGAGGCCTGTCCAGCACCTGTTGCTGTCCATTGGCTTGTGCCCCCTGTCTAGCGTCCATTTAAAGAGGCTGGTCTTGGGGCCGGAGCGATAGCACAGAGGGGAGGGCATTTGCCTTGCACGCAGCAGACCCAGGTTCAATCCCCAGCATCCCATATGGTCCCCCGAGCACCTCCAGGGGTAATTCCTGAGCTCAGAGACAGGAGTAATCTCTGAGCATCGCTGGGTGTGACCCAAAGAGCATAAATAAGTAAATAAAAATAAAGAGGCTGGGCTTGCTCCCAGGTGCAGAGGCCCTCCGAAGCTGAAGGCCCTCTTTGGGAAACCCCTTCTGCACCCCTTCTCTCAAGCCTGGCTCCTCACCTTCCCACTGTTCCTTTGTCCTTGCCTATGTGTGAGCCTTTTTGGGTGGGGGGAGCAGGAACCCCCACCTTGGACATTCTGTGTTCTGTTCCCCCCACCAGTCCAGGGTTCTCGGGGGAACTTACCAGGAGAAGGGGGACCTTCTGAGCTGAATGGTTGCGCTGTAGTTCCTGAATGGTACTGAGAGGGCCGAGCCCATCTCCATGCAGGTCTAACCGCCTTCTCTCCGCAGAGATCCAGAAGATCACCTGCTTGCAAGACGGCAGCGAGCAAGATGCACTGGTGGGGTCTGCTGGCTCTCTCAGCCTGGAGCAAGGTGACTGCATCCCAGGGGTGCTCGGCCTCTCAGAGGAAAGCAAGGAAGGGTTTCCGAGAGCAGATTGTGTGTCGGGAAGAACACTGGAGAGCTTAGGAGAAGGGGGTGGGTGGGTGGGCTTGTCAGAGTGTCTAACTCTGACAACTCTCCCCTCACCCAAACGCAGGAACAGGAGCCCCATAGTTCGTCCAGCAGATTAAGGGGATTGGCCTCCTGCGTTACTGTGACTCAGAACGTTCCCTTTGGGGGAGAGAGTAGGAAGCTGTGCAGATCAGAGACCTGTGGGTGCCAAGAGACACCCTTGGTGGGGCTGAGGGGACCATGTTCCCTGGGCTGTGGGCCGGCCATTCTATCAGAGAGCAGAGGGGAGGTGGAGAGAAGGGAGGTGGGGAAGAGGATAGAGGAGAAAGGGCTGAGGACCCCGCTGAACACCCATTCTTTTTTTTTTTATCTATTTAATTTTTTAAAATTTTTTTATTAGTGAGACACCACGAGGTACAGTTGGAGACTTACAAATTTTTGTGCTTGGGTTTCAATTATACAATGATCAAATACCCATCCCTCCACCAGTGCCCATTTCCCACCACCACGGATCCCAGTATGCCTCCCACCTCCCATCCTCCCTATCCCACCCTGCCTCTGTGGCAGGGCATTCCCTTTTGTTCTCTCTCTCCTTTTGGGTGTTGTGGTCTTCAAAAGAGGCATTGAGTGGCAATCATGTTTGGTCTATAGTCTACTTTCAGCATGCTTCTCCCATCCTGGGAGGATCCTCCCAACACCCTTTATTTGATGCTCCCTTCTCTATCTGAGCTCCCTTTTACCCTAGCATGTGTGGCTGGCCTCCAAGCCATGGAGCAAAATTCCTGGTACTAATCTTGGCCATTCTTGGGTGTTAGTCTCCTATTTTGTTACTTTATTGAACACCCATTCTTAAGGCCCACTGCAGGGATGTACCCTCTGGCATTTCTTGGCAGCCCCCTCAGCCTGCCCAAATTTTTTCAACCCGATGTGAAGTATGGGGGTATGGCGGGGGGGCAGCGGGGAGATCGCGGGCCCCACCTGGGGGTTTGGGGTCTGTCTGCTAGAGTCAGGGGGGACTTCCCACGTCCCGGCATTCTCTGTCCTCTCCAGCACCTGGAGAAACCTCCCACTCCTACGTTAGGATAAAGGGATGATGGTGGGTGACCCGGCTCATCTTCAATGTCTGAGACAAACCAGTGCTCCTCCCGCCCTCTCTTGCAGGAACTGTTGAAAATTTGCAAGAATGCCTGATATCAGCCTCACAAAATGCTGACACTTCTAATGGTCTGTGCTAGACTCCCTTCTGGGACGTGCTTGATGTGGGGGGCGGGGGGGGGGGGGGGAGTGCGGCTGCCCTGTGGATCCCTCAGGAGTCTTCGTCTTCGTCTTCGTACCTGCACCGTCTCCAGGCTCAGGGACTGGAGGGCAGCGTCTTGTCCTCCGATGCCTGGGACCGAAACTGCTCACGCTTCCCATCCCACGCTGGCTGCCAGCTCCAGCTCCTGACTGCCCGGCGGGTGGGGCTTGCCCACGTGCTGTCTTCACAGTTCTTATCTTTGCCTTTTATTGCTTGGGAGCCTTGTCCAGTATGGCCAGCGCTGCTGCTGGGGATCTTGGGACGTGGTGAGCTGTGAGGCAGGTCACCTTCCCGCCTATCCTTCCCATGGGGCCATCCATGCCCTTGTGGCTTCCCTACAAACTCTCACTCATCATCCCTGGGTCAGGGGTCCAGAAGCAGCTTTAAAACACCAGGCACACCTCCAGTAACTCCTTTTGGTCTGTTGACAACCAAGAACTACTATTTCCATCTGTTGGCTTTCTAAAAATTCAGGATGCTCAGAATAATGATATTAGGAGATTCGTTAAAAATATTTTTAAAAAGAGATTTAAAAAATGATAGGAATAGAGTTCCCCTATGATCCAGCAATACGACTTCTTGGTATCTATCCCCAAACTCAAACACAATTATTTTTCATACTCTTTTCATTTTTTTTTCTTTTTGGGTCACACCCAATGATACACAGGGCTTACTCCTGGCTCTGCACTCAGGAATTCCTCCTGGCGGTGCTCAGGGGACCATATGGGATGCTGGGATTCGAACCCAGGTTGACCACCTGCAAGGCAAACGCCCTACCCGCTGTGCTATCGCTCCAGCCCCCATACTCTTTTCATTTTATTAAGGATGAATCTTTCTGTTTTTTTCCATAACACCAATTTTATTCATACAACAAAAATGTATGTACATAGACACATTTAAGTAATGTGGTGAAAGCAATGTTATGTGGAAGATGTTTTCAGAGTTAGTGGAAACAGGAGAAATCTAACACAGACTTACATAAGTTTGAACTAAGTTGGCACCCATTTACACTTTGTCCAGTTCTCCACATATGTAAAATTTGATAGTTGTATTCATAAGCATTTTAAAAACCCAGACACATTAATTGCAAAGGATATGTGCACACATATGTTTATCGTCACCCCCTTAGCACAGCAGCCAAGGTATGGAAACAACCCAAACACCCAGCTACAGATGAATGGATCCAGAAGTTGTTGTGTATAGACAGAGCAGCATACTATGCAGCCCCCAAAAAGAACCTAATCGTGCAATTTGAAACAGCATGGGTAGGGCTAAGGATAGCATGCTGAATGAAGTCAGTCAGAAGGAAAGGAACTGATACAGAATTATTTCTCTTATATGTGGGACTTAAAGATATACAGAAAGGTAACAGCAAAGGTCCAAAGGCAATATAATGGGAGAATTGATCCACACAATTATGTTGGGGGTACAGGGAAGGGAGGGGTCCTTGGAGTCCTTGAGAGAGGATATCCACTGATGATGGGTGAAGTGTTGGAGTTATATGCATGAAAAACCATTTTTAATAGCATTGTAAACTCAGAATCTCAATAAAATTTTTTTAAAAAACTAAATTATAAATGATTTAATTTTCTGAGCAGTCACTGTTTCCCAGAGAGTGAGACAAGTAAGAATTTATTAACTTCTAATATCTCCCAGAGATGATATAGCATCCCCAGTTCTCAGAGAGGGAAAAAAAACAGCCTACAGAGTTTGGTTGCTCCTGCCAAGGTCACCCAGTCCTGAATTAGAGTTGATCCGGGCAGTTAGGAATGCTGGAGCAGGAATTTGGGTTGCCCACACCCCGATTCCAAGCTTGCTCTGTGATCTTGGGGAAGTTCCTCCCGTCTCTGTCTCTCAGATGTGTCATTTAATGGAATTGACAATAAAATCTACAAGTCAGGGTGTTGGATTTTCACTGAGTTATTGCATGGGAAGCATTTACAGCCAAACGTAATCCTTCATTGGTGTTCAGTACTTTTGATATTATCACTACATTTCATTGTCATCATGTTTTGGTATCTGTTCCCAGAATCAACACTTTGTTTTGTTTTTTTATTTCTCCTTTTAAATTTCAAAAACTTTTTGTATTGATTGAGGTTCTGTGATTTACAATACTGTTTATGATAGGTTTTCATGCATACAGTATCCAAAACCACAGCCCCCACGAGGGTCCATTTCTCTCAACTCCCCATCACCTCACCCCGTCCCGTACCCTGGTAAGCTCAGTTGAGCCAAAGCGTTTAACCATTTCAGTAAATGCTGTGATTTTCCTCCACCAACATCCATTGTGGATCGATTGATTCCTCAGGCAGGAGGAACAGTGTTTAAGCAACACTTGATCACTATATCTCTTAATGATAAGGAAAGAGAAACTAAGGCCCGCAGGATGCCTTTTCTTACAACACCTGAGTCTACACTAGATTTTACATCCTCTTTCCATAACTCTCCTTTTCACATGAGTAACAAAGAACCGTCTCTGGAAACCTTTGGCACAGCGAAAAACTCTTACTGTGATATAGCTGCCAGTTGGAATGTGTTGCTTAAGAAGAAACGTTCTAAATTAGTGATATGTTTTATTTTTGTTTTATTCTCACTTGTTTTAATTTCAAAGGAACATATGAGGAAAAATTAATTTCTTGGAATGACCGCAAAATGAATGAAAGGAACATCCTGGTACCCTTTTCTTTGCTAGACAATAACTACATATTCTTAGAGCAAAGAATTTCTCAACCTCAGCACAATTAACATTTTATTTTATTTTTTTACTACTATTATTTTTTATTTTTTAATTTTTTTTATTAGCGAAACACCATGAGATACAGTTGTAGACTTACAAACTTTCGTGCTGGGGTTTCAGTCATACAATGATCAAGTACCTATCCCTCCACCAATGCCCATTCCCCACCACCAATGATCTTGGTAGCCCTCCCACCCCCACACCCCATCTTCCCCCACCCCACCTCTGTGGCAGGGCATTCCCATTAGTGATATGTTTTAAAAACACAATGCCAGCAAATCATGTTTAGTCAAAACATTAACTTTTAGAAAGTTCTTTTTAAAACATGCATGGATCCATCATTTTAATAATTCATCTACTAGTGCCACATCTTCTGATATGTGCAGAAAGGGAGCAGAGAATTCAGTGTGTGTATGCATACATGTGTGCGCGCTCACACACACACACACACATACACACACACACACACACACTTGCAGGGCCTGGGAAGACGAGACAGTGAAGTTCTTTGCTTTGTAACTTACAGTGTGGGTCAGGGAAAACCCGACCGGGAAATTGAATCCCAGTTCATCTCAGTATTGAGGGCAGGTGAATTTTTAGAGAAAATGTTTCATCTGCAACCCCAGTGACACACGGCCAGTGTAGAGAGACCCTCAGTTTGATCCTGCAGTCTTTTGTGCATGGGCCAAGAGAGGGCTGTGTCTCATGGTCATGCCTACACCCAGGATGCAGCCACAGAGGCACCGTGGATGGGTACCTGGACGGGGTACAAAATATACCCCCAAGCTCCAGCCTTATATGAACAGATAGTTTGATTAGATGACTTAAGTTTGGGTGTTTCATTAAAATTTTATTGATTTGCCATCCATTTTCTGGACTAGGTAAACTTCAGTAGTTCAGCTGCATGTTAAAAAAAAATTCTCTATGGGGGCTGGAGAGATAGCACAGCGGGTACGGCGTTTGCCTTGCACACGGCCAACCCGGGTTCGATTCTCAACATCCCATATGGTCCCCTGAGCACCGCCAGGAGTAACTCCTGAGTGCAGAGCCAGGAGTAATCTCTGTGCATCGCCAGGTGTGACCCAAAAAGAAAAAAAAAACTATGTGCATAGAGAATTACTCGTTATTCGTTATTACCAAAGAAAGTTCTTTGATGAAAATGGCATTGAATGAGAAAAAAAACATCCAGTTGCACTGGAAAATGTTTTATACCTAGTTAAACAGGACCGAGGCTGGTGGGAAAGGGTAGGGCTAGATGGACTGAGAGGAGAAGTTCCCTGTGGGTGCAGAGGGCATATGCTGGGCTGGGCTGTTCACCCTGGGACACTTGCCTTACCCTCCTCTGCTCTCCTCTGCCCTCCATCTCTGACCGTTGGATTCTGCAAACTTTCTTGCTGGTGCTCCTGGCTGCTGGCTCATTGTGGGGCTCTAAGGGGGGAATGCTAATGAGAGACTGGAGAGCAGAGCAGAGAAGAAGTGGGGTTTGCCCCCATTGCCGTTTCCAGCAGTTCCAGCCGTGGCTCACCTCCACGCTGTCTCGGCTCCCCATCATGTGGGTTGGCCATGGTCCAGTTTCCAGCCATGCAGTGACCCTGCCTCGGGGCTCAGTATGCTGCCCTCTCGCCGTGTCCTTTGGCTATTCTTTGTGTGGCTGTGCTGTTCCACTCCCCCTTCTCAGCTCGCCCAATGCCCTGTGTTAAAGTTCCTCTGCTTCAAAGCTCAACATGATTTGTGTTTTGCTGTTGGATCTTGATTGATGGAGGCAAAACCCAAATCTCTCTGAATCAAAACATGGTTTAGGTACAACCGTACATGCAAGCGGCTTCTTGGAGCACCTCCTGGACACAGGAGCATTGTGGGAAGGCACACCCGGTGGAGAGAGAAATGTGCTAGAAAATGTACAAGACAGTGATCATTGTGCCCAGGAGCCCGAGAGAGCAGGTAAGACAGACTGAACTTAATACAGGTGGGGAAGATGAGGAACCCTACCTAGACAGTGGCAAAGAAGGGAGTAAATGTGTTAAGGAGGCATCTGTTGAGAGGAAGGAGAAATCACACTGATACATGAGAATAAGGGTGGAACTTCAAGCATTGATTTTGTTTTGTTTTGTTTTGTTTTGTTTGGGGACTATGCTGGCAGTGCTCAGGGCTTACTCCTGGCTCTGCACTGAGGGATCACTCGTGGCAGGCTTGGGGGACCAGGTGGAGTGCCAGGGCTAGAACCTGGGTCACATGCAAGGTAAACGTCCTCCCCACTGTACTATGACTCCGACTTGAAGTTTGAGGTATTGCTGGGAGATACCTGAAGGAAAAGACCGAGACAGTGGGTGAAAGGTTGCAGAAACTTCTGATTGAAAGTGAAGCAAAAGTCAAAAGAGAGGGATAGAGTCATCCAAGAGTCAGTGAGGCTTTCTCCCAAGACGAGGATGGCCACCTAGACAGAGGTTCTAAGTGAAAACACAAGAGGGGAGACACGTGGAGAGGGTCTGTGAAATGCAGACGGGGTCAAGATGCTCTGTTGGGCCTTTTCACTGTGAGAGTTCTGCAAAGATGCCCTCCAGGTGATTAATGAAGATGCAAGAACAAAGATACCCAGCCCATTGTCCTGTGCAAAGCGAAGTTAATTCTTTTTATTATTATTATTATTTTTTTAATTTTTATTTTTATTAGTGAAACACCATGAGGTACAGTTGTAGATTTACAAATTTTTGTGCTTGGGTTTCGATTATACAATGATCAAATACCCATCCCTCCACCAGTGCTCATTTCCCACCACCATGGATCCAAGTACCCCTCCCACACCCATCCCCCCATCCCACCCTGCCTCTGTGGCAGGGCATTCCCTTTTGTTCTCTCTCTCCTCTTGGGCGTTGTGGTCTACAAAAGAGGCATTGAGTGGCAATCATGTTCAGTCCATAGTCTACTTTCAACATGCGTCTCCCCTCCTGGGAGGATCCTCCAAACACCCTTTATTGGTGCTCCCTCTCTATCTGAGCTGCCCTTTCCCCTAGAATGCCTGGCTTGCCTCTAAACTATAGAGTAATCCTCCTGGTACTGATCTCGGCTATTCTTGGGTATCCCCCAGATGAATGCAATCTTTCTATGTCTATCCCTCTCTTTCTGACTCATTTCGCTTAGCATGATACTTTCCATGTAGTACCACGCGAAATTAATTCTTACTTAGACAGGGTAGCCACCAAATTAGTTCCGTTTCTCTTGCTCATGGAGAGCAGGCCAGGACTGCCCCCATGAACTTATATTCTAGATCTTTTATTCCCTCTGAAAGCAAAAGTTTCCCTCTGTCCTCCGATTCTGACCCTCTCCCTCTCCCATGTTCACATCCATGCGGTCCGCAGAGCCTGGGGCATAGACTCCAGCTGCTTAGAACAGAGATGGGGTAGAAGTTGAGCTCTCCAATGGAGGGATGGGAAAATGCCCATGGAAAGATGCTTCGGGGATAGGAAATGAGGGAAAGTTGGGCTGGTGGGCACCAAATGAAGACGTACAGAGTGGGGCTGAAGCGGTAGTGCAGCAGGTAGGGCGTTTCCCTTGCACGTGGCTGACCGGGTTCGATTCCCAGCATCCCATATGGTCCCCGAACCACTGCCAGGAGTAATTCCTGAGTGTAGAGCTAGGTAACCTCTGTGTATCACCGAGTGTGATTAAAAAAAAAAAGAACACCAAAAAAGAAGTACAGAGCAAGTGATAGAGAGTTCAGGTAAATTATAGGCAACACAAACAGTGCCTGGCTGTAGGGTGAAGTGCACCAAAAACATGTGATGCTGCTGGCCACTATGTACATAAGGCACAATTTAATTTATGTAAATTTCTGAGCCACTGAAGATCAAGACTCTTAATGACAAGTATCAAGGTGACGAGTAATCAGCGTAAAATTAGTGCAGACATCACAAAGTGACTTCCAGGGTGTGGACACTATTTTCACTATTTGACCAAAGTGGCATTTCCCCCAATATGATTATATTTGCTAATTCAGCATTTCTTTATTTTCATTTTTTTAATTAAATTTTGCTTTTTTGGGGTCACACCCAGCGATGCATAGGGCTTACTTCTGGCTCTGCATTCAGGAATTACTCCTGGCGGTGCTCAGGGGACCATATGGGATGCTGGGAATCGAACCCAGGTCGGTAGTGTGCAAGGAAAGTGCCCTATTTGCTGTGCTATCGCTCCAGCCCCCTAATTCAGCATTTCGAATTTACACATTTTTCTTCAGACTATAATTGTCACTTTGATTTTTGATAAGGCCAAAAAATATCATTATCAAAGATTCAAGAGATAAACTTCACTTCCTTCCCCCAAGTATGTCATGAGAAGCACGTGTCATGATAAGGTTATTGAGGGGCTGAGGCATCCACTCCTTTTTGGGGAAACAAAATTTTTTCTATTTTATAATTTTATCTAGGAGAAGAGTTACACAAACATGCCATCCAAAGCAGTCCTTGCTTCGTAAGTCTGGTGGACATAAAGAAGGAAAAACCATCTTCCAGCTCCAAAGCAAGATGTAATCAGTCATCGGAAATAATAGGTAAGACTGAAAGAAAGTGCAGTTTGAGTCAGTTAAAGGTGGGACATGTCATCAGAGTCCATTGAGGCCGGAGGACTCAAGAGATCTTGCAAAAGGGACTCCTGAACTTAGGAAACTGGAAATTACTCCAGCCTGGAACTGTCAAGAGGCAGAGATGACGTATAAAATAAACTGTTTCCCATGGAAGCAAGGCAAGTCTGGGACATAGCAGTGAAGAGAGGGGCAAGACAGGAATTGGGGAGAAGACGGAGAAAGAAGCACATGACAAAGATGCAACAAGAAACTGTCTGCAGGAAGAGAAGTGCCAGATGGGGAAGTTGGCTGAGCCTGGAGGAAAGAGAGAAGGAGAATGAAAGAGATAGACTGAGGGCGGGAGTAGATGCTTAAGTGAGGACTAAGAAAGGAGGTAGGTTAAGGGTGGAATGGGAAGTCCTGAGGATGGAGGTAGGAGGTAGATGATGAGGGAAAGAGGGTAAAAGAGTGCCCAGGATTGGCAAAGCTGCTCACAGTACACGGGTTTCATTACATTTTGGGAGGGGTCTGGCGCACCCCAGGCGCAGAGCAGGTGCTTTGGCAGCGCAGACAGGTCTTCCCTGTTGGGGTTTCCTGGTCTGGGCTCCTCAGTCCCATGTGGAGGCCCTAAGGCATTTTGCTTTCCTACAGATCTCAGCAGTGACGATGAGCCCACTGACATCAGTGGCGGAGAAGAGACCCGAGAAGTCTCCACCTCGCCCCTGAAAAGGGGCATTGGTAAGGCCGGGAGCTCAGGGCTGGGCTCAAGAACCTGACTTGAGGTTCTTGTTTTACAAGTGTGTGCGTGGGGAGGGGGAGGCAGAGGGTAGGTAAGATAGAGAAGAGACCGTTATGACAATAATAGCTGGGAACAATCACGCTGGACAAGAGCTGAGGGTTAAAAGTAGGTAAGGGATAGGATAACCTTTCAGTATCAATATTGCAAACCACAGTGCCCAGCAAGAGACAGACAGACGGACAGACAGACAGAGACAGAGAAGAAAAGTGCCTGCCATAGAGGCAGGCAGGGGTTGGGGGTGGGGAGTGATGGGAAGGAACCTGGGGACACTGGTACTGGGAAGTGTCCACTGGTGGAGGAACAGGTGTTGGAACACTGTATGACTGAAATCCAATCATGAACAGCTTTGTAAGGGTCTATCTCACAAGGATTCAATAAAAAGGTTTTTTTAAATGGCAAATGGAATTATCAAATAATAAATGAATAAAAGTAAAAAAAAAAGAGAGAGGTTCTTGTCGTAACCAAGAGCAACCGTCCCCAGAGGCATCTCACTGTGAGCCACCCCGAGGGTGCCATTGGTTTATCCTGAAACTTATTTCACCTGGACTTTTGGGGAAATGCAGAAAGATAAGAAATTATTATGCATTTTAAATTCACAGTTTTTAATTAAAAATTTTATTTAGTCACATTTATTTAGTGGATTACAAAGTTACTCATGATTGGATTTCAGGCATGTGTTGTTCCAACACCAAGACCTCGGCTTCTCACCCACCTACCAGCCTGCCTCTAGGTCGGGCATTTTAAAATCAATTTTCGGCACTCTGGCTGACAGTACTGTTACAAATTGGGCTTCAGGCTAACACTTTATCCTCTCTCTGCCACCCCTTCTCCCACTGACTTCTTCTGTCAACCATCATTGTCGTGTTCTCTTCTCTGTCCTACTCCCCCAAGCTTATATTCGTATTAATGTTATGGGTGTATGTGTGTACACATGTATTAAATATGTGTATGTCTATATGTACTACATATTATACATGAATATATGTATTTATTGAAGGGGTCTATTAATTGAGGAGCCTACTCACCAGTATATGGGTTTATATGACACAAAATAATGCATTTTTAAAAACAACTAGGTATGATGGGATTGGCACGATAATACAGTGGGTAAGGGATTTGCCTTGCACGAAGCCAACCAGGGTTCAATTCCCAGCATCCCATATGGTCTCTTGAGCCCCATCAAGAGTGATCCCTGAGCACAGAGCCAGGAGTAAGCCCTGAGTTTCAAGTCCCAAATCACCCCCCAAAATAAAACTAGCTACTGTGCCTCTAGAGTTTCAAAATAATACCACTATAACTTTATAGAGAAAAGGCTAAATATTACTGTATTGGAAGTTCATATCGTCAACTAATTATAAACTTTGAACCCCGTCGAAAGGCATCCCACCCAAGTACCAGTGTCAGCAGAAATAAAGACTGCAGGTAAACTATTTTAAAGGTCAAGGATTGCTTTTGACGGAGTTCTTCAGCAAGTCATGATATACATAGAAAACTTTTTCCAAAACTCTTTGCCAAGAGTACTGTGGTTTGCTTTCACACCAATTCTGAGGGGTAAGCCGGAGAAGCATTGCTACCCTAGTGCTGCATGAGGAACCACAGCTCCACGGAGATTTCGAGGTCTTCTAGCAAATCTAGAGCATCTAAAGGGAAAGATGATGCCAGTGTCATAGATTATTATTTCTCTTAAAAGCTCTGAGCTGCAAATGGGTACCAAATGTATCAAATGTCCGAGCACTGAGACCAGAAATTTAGATGTGCACTCCCTGAAGAATGCAGCACGTTGGCCTTTCACTTGGGTCACGGTAGAAGCAGCTGTTCGTCCCCTGAAATGTTTGATGGTCTGAGCACAAGTTTCTTTCTCTGCCTGAGAGAGAGTTAAAAGGGTATATCAGGTTGGTAGGTGATGGAGGAGGTTCCCCATTTTCAAGACAAGTTCTCCAAGGTCTCCCCACATGAGAAAGGGCAGAGAAGATGGAAGTGTGGCATGACAGGAGGAGGTAGGAATCAGGAGAGAGATGAGCAGCAGAGCAAGGTTGTTATTTATCAGAGGAGACAGAAAGTGGGACCCCCACTCCCCTGCAAACAGGTGACTTAGAAACAATCCAGGTGAGGCCTGGATTTGCAAGGGTTTTTCTTTTTTCTTTCTTTTATTTCCCCCCAACTTAGTTTTGTTTTATTTTTGTTTTGGGCTCATACCTGGCTGTTCTCAGGGCTTACGCCTGGCTCTGTGTTCAGGAATAACTCCTATTTGACATGTAAGGAACCATAGTGGGTGCCGGGGATCAAGCCTGGGCCCTGGGCCAGGTTGCTGCAAGGCAAACGCTTTTCCCACTGTTTGATCCCTCCGTGCCTTTCCAAATTTTCTTCATAGGGAATTTTCTGATCGGTCATTTCCTTGCTCAAACACCAAGACCCCTAAAGAATCCTGTTCCTTCATGCATTCACAGTCCTCTTGGGTCTTTGAATTCAGACTCACCCAGTCAGCTTCATGGGCCTCTCCTGCCTCACATAATTCTGAGCTCTTATGAAATTTGTAAGACTTGGGCACAGATATTTTACTATGTTTTTATAGATGCCACAGATTTAAGAAAATCACCGGTATTCAGAATACGCCATTTCAAAAGAGGTAAGAGCCTATAAAGAATATTCCTGGTTGGAACCTGAGTCATAGTACAACCGGTAGACTGCTTGTCTTGCACTTGGCCGACCCAAGTTTGATCCCTGGCACCCCATATGGTTCCCGAGTCCTGCCAGGAGTGATACCTGAGGTAGGGGCAAGCCCTGAGTATCACCAAATGTGGCTCCCAAACAAAGACAGGCACCTCTTTCTGGTTATAAGTAGTATTTTCTACCAAAGATTCATTTTAATTCTTTGCTGCTTCAAAGTAGATTTTATTTAAGATGGCTTCTATTATCACTCTTCTGTTTACTTAGGTTAATAGTTGCAAGAAATAAGCCCAAAGAAGTCAATGAATGTCAAAATGGAATTTTACTTCCTCCACTCCCCTCCCTAAGCTCCGAATGGCTAGTGTTTTTGGAGGGGGAACCAAGAGTAGGGATGCATCCCACTGAGTCTGTCTTGGAGTTAGCCCAAGGGAGAAGCTGTCTTCTTCACTCTGTTTGCAGTCAGAATTTCCACTTTCCTGGGAGTAAAGCCCAGCAAAGGATAAAAAGGAACACAGATCCAACACAGATCTAACAACAGAGACAAAAAGAAACAAGGAAAGGAAATGGAGGTGGGGAGTCGGTAGATGGTTCAAAGGGGTGGAGTGCTAAGCTCAAACCCCGAATTCGATCACCAACACAGCATCCTCATCCCCTTCCCTGCCAAAGCACTGCATGGGGAGAGATGAAAGGGGTGGGGGAGAGAGAGAGTGAGAGAGAGAGAGAAAGAGAGAGCAGAGTGAAAAGTCAAGGAGGACTAACAGAGGACCAAAGCACTGCATGGAAAGAGATGAAAGGGGTGGGAGAGAGAGAGAGAGAGAGAGAGAGAGAGAGAGAGAGAGAGAGAGACAGAGAGAGACACAGAGAGAGAGAGAACAGAGTGAAAAGTCATGGAGGACCAACAGAGAAGCCCACCAGGACAAAGGGTTCTGGATCCCAGAATAAGTGATCTTTTGGGCCCATGAATACTAAAGGCAGAGAGCCATGACAAAAGTGGGTGACACTCTTGCCCTGGGTTATCAGGCCACCCCCACACCCCCTCTTATCCTCTGTTAGACACTGACATCCATTCTTGTTGCAGTGAGAAGAATTGAGAGTTTTTCAGGGTCCAGCGGGGATGAGGCCCCACAGATGTTTGATGCCATGGATGAAGGTAAGAACTGCCACCACCAGTCTCCAGGACAGCAACAGATCCTGTGTTCTGGCACACAGTGCCCTGAGCTTCCTCCAGTGCCAGGGAGACCGCCCCCACCCAACCCCGCCAAAAGAAAAGTGCAGGCATAGTTGAATAAGAATCGCTGAGAAGGGTCCTTGGGCCCTCTGAGTGCCAGACCCCCAAAAATGAAAGAAATGATTACCACAGCATCTTTCTGATCCAAATTCTGCCCTTAAAATGAGAAGTCATAAGATTAAGAAATCCTTTTGTTATAGATTACTACTTTTGTTTTCCTTTACTCTCCAGATTCTGAGGATATTGGAAATAAATCTAATTGTACAACTGACAATCAGGAAAGAGGTAAGAACAATTAAATAATTAAATTTAGCAAAGCTTTCTTTGCTAGAATGCTTTACTCGTGTGTGTGTGTGTGTGTGTGTGTGTGTGTGTGTGTGTGTGTTTGGTTCTAGTCTTTGAAACCAATACATTAGTTGAGATTTTAGATGTAAATTTTGAATTAGATGAACTGTTCTGATTGAACACACACTCTCAAACAGTTTAGTGCACAGATAAATATAATTCAAGTTTATGCTTCTCTCATGGAAATAGGACAAAGTGGTTCTGGGTAGTCCTGTGCTCTGCGTAGACCTGTGTTCTGCTCTGGGCCACCAAGGACTCAGCCGTAGGAGACTCTAGGATGTTGAAAATGTCATCCAGGGACCAGAGCGATAGTATAGTGGAGAGGACGTTTGCCTTGCACGCGGCCAACCTGGGTTCCATCCAAGCATCCCAGATGGTCCCTCGAGCACCTCCAGGAGTGATTCCTGAGTGCAGAGCCAGGACTAACCCCTGAGCATCACCTAGTGTGACCCCAAAAACCAAAAATTTAAATAAAAAAATTTTCATATTACTCCCATAGGCTCCCTAGGTAAGAACCAGAGCAAGAAGTTAACACATGTGCGGTCTAGAGGAAATGGTGAGAAGTAGGAACAGTGCAGACAGAAGAGGTGCCTTTCCCAGAAAACTTGTCCCCAGTCCTTGAGGATGGTTCTTGGAGCTCCCATGCAGGGGTCCAAGGAGCCTGGAGTTGGGAATGTTCCTGCTCCCACAGATGGCTCCCTCCTCCCAAAGACCGTCTTTAAAAATTTCATACTGCACATAGAACAAGACTCTAAAGGGGTTCATTTCCATCTCTTCTGCAGAGTTCCACAGTGATGACTCTACGGAATTGATTCTCAGAGAAGAACCTCAAGAAACTTGTAGCTCAGCCCTAAGAAGAGCGTCAGGTAAAGAAGATTAAGATGCCAAGCCTTGGTCTGCCGAATGTCAGGAATCTGAATTAAGAGCAGCTGTTTCCAGATGCAGTTTATTCTGAACTCCTGAAAGACCTGGTCCCCAGTTAATGGGAAATGCTTTTCAGCATTTTAGAAAATGCAAGAAGGCAGTCAATGACTCTAAATTTACGTTTAAGAGGACAAGTTCTAGACACTAAAGTATGTGATTACATATTGCTGTTGTAGAAGGAACGGACACCAAAATAGTGACTTCTTTTATAATACCTACTTGTCACACCTACTAGTATTGGAGATTCAAATTTCTCTTTTTCTAGTGATTTATTGGTTGACATCTATATAATTTGTAATTGTAAAAGTCTCAAAAGATAACTCATCCTATTCTGTAATATAGACAGAAAATTTTCAGATTAACCATTCTCAGACCTTCTAGTCTTTAGTAGATATTTATCATGTTATTATTGGATGATACCATGCTATTTTGAAGAATTTAGGCAAATGATATCTTATTGTGTTATCATAAAATCCTTAAGATTTAAAAAGGAGACCTTTTTAATAGCTCTAGGAAAGAGATGTACAAATATAGAATGGTCAAAAAGGGTGATTGTTACGTGTAGAATACTAGAATATAAGAGCTATGTTATACTTGCTTTGCAAAGTGCAAAGTCCAAAGAGGACTTTACAAGGGATCTGACATCTATACAAAGGACTGTACCAGTACCTGATGTAAGAAAACTTGACAAGAACAATAAATAAATAGGTGTATATATGTATGCGTGCAAATATTGCACATACATTTGTGTATATATTATTTGATATATATGGCACTAACAAATATGACATGTTTCTTAGAAATATAGATATATTTGGGAAGATGAAAGTCATCAAAAAACAGAGCTGGTAGGAATGCTGCTAGCTAGAACACATTTAGAATCCTAGAAGGAAAGATCCAAAAGGAATGAAGGAATGTTCTTTTCTGGGCAAGAAAAGAACAGAAATTAAGAGCTTCATTGAAGAAAAGAGAAAGGAACGTGAGAGACGTGATATTAGGAAGAGCAACTCCGGAGCTAAGGCGGGGGGGGCAGGGCACTGTACATCAGGCCGACTGAGGAGACAGGAGTGTGAGTGGGTAGGAAAACACAGCACGATCTCTGCGGATACGAAGGAGGTCAGTCAGTGAGTAGGTCTGACTCTGGGGGTGGCTAGTTAGGGTCACACCTGGTTGTTTTCAGGGGCTACTCCTGGCTCTGTGCTATGGAGTCACTCCTGGTGGTGCTCAGAAGGCCATCAATAGTGGTGGGGTTGAATCAGGGTCAGCTACACAAAAGACAAGCACCCTAACCCCCATGCTATCTCTCTGGCCTAGGTCTTCATTTTCTTAGCTCACCTGAGCATTAGGCATAGCTCAGCAAAACCATATTAAGGTTTCTTTCCCGGTCATTGTGTATAATCTACTATTTATTTCCTTTAATGCCCTGGGAATTTTTGTGAATTCTCTTCAAATGAATTGAGGAAGAAAGTCAGAAAGATGCATCCCATTAATGTGAGATGGAGAGCCAGTGATGATACTAATCATGTTTTTATTGTTTTTCTGGGTTTTCTTTCTTTCTTTCTTTCTTTCTTTCTTTCTTTCTTTCTTTCTTTCTTTCTTTTTTGAGAGACGGGGGTTTCATTTACATCCGGCAGCGCTCAGGACTTTCTCTTGGAGTACTCCTGGTGGGACTTGGGGGAACCATATGGGATGCCAGGAATCGAACCTAAGTTGGCATGTGCAAGGCAAGTGCAGTGCCTGCATTATTGTTCTGGCTCCATCATTGTTTCCCTGTTTGCACAAAGGAAAAGATCTGTTTCTTTATTATCTTACCCTTTTTTGGCTTTTGGGACACATCTGGATGTTTTCAGGGAGTACTCCTGACTCCGCACAAGGATCACTCTTGGCAAGGCTTGGGGTGGCATATTGGGTGCTGAGGGATTGAACTCAGGTCAGCTGCATGCAAGGCAAGAACCCTATCCACTGTACTATTTCTCTGGTCCCCAAATTTCTGCTTCTTTATCTCATTCTCTTCCTAAAAAATCATTGCATTCCACACACACAGACATTCACACACACACACACATGCAAACACATGCAAACACATACACACAGGCACAGACAGACCCATTCACAGATTCAGACATCTCTCAACAAGATTGAGGGAGTCGAAGAGGAAGAGGAGCTGGGTTTCCGAATAGAGGAAGGTGACCCTGAGTGGAAAAAGGATGGAAAGGTAGGTGGGGAGTTTCCCAGTGAACAGCTCAGCTGAGTAAACTTTGTTAGGAAGACATGGAACCCCAAAGGCACCAAATTAAAGAGTTTTGCGGGGGACGGGGGATGATCATTTAGGTTCCTCTAAGCAGTTACAGCAAAAGCACAGATAAGGTTGACATAAACAGACTAGTGGTAATGAGAAAACACAAAGGAAGAGATTTTTTTCAGTAACAAAAGTAGATACTAAGAGAGAAGCTTAGAGGGACCAACAGAAATGAGATACAGGGTCTAATACATGAAAAGGCATAATGAGAGCGATGGTTTTTTAAAGGGAGAGAAGGCAGAGAGGGAGAGAAGAAGATGTGGAATCTGAGCTGATGCTTAGCTGGAGCCACTTGGTTCAAGGGTGTGGTTGGCAGTAGCAGTGGGTTTGCGGGTTGTCTGCCCCCTGCCCCCATTATCAAGGTAGCCCCATCACCATAAACCAGGTCTATTGCTTCTCACCTGAACGAGAGCCTGGTTTCCCCCCATAATCTTACTCCCCACCACACACATGCTTTCTAAATGGCTTATCTAAACTCATCTTTCAAATATTCAGATAGGTTTGGGCTGCTTTCCTATATAAAATCCAATTCCCTTAACTGTCCTAAAGAACTAAGTCAGTTCTCTTTTGTGAGGCCTCCAAAGTCACCTACCTGCACCCCCACCTTTCTCTATCCTTTTCATCCCCTAAACTCTCATGCACTACATCCCAAACTTCTTTGCTTACTTGCATGTACTGGTTATAGACCTTTACACAGATCTCTCCAGTGATTAGCCCCTGAACACCACTGGCTGTGACCCTCCAAAAAGGTAGAGAAAATAGACAAAGATAGAGATTCGGGGCAAAAAGAAAAGGATACTAGATTAAACATATTAAAAGCAAAAAACAAAGAAAGGGAAGCTCAGAAGAAGAGAAAGTAATTTCAGAAGTAGAGCTTCTTGCATATGGTCATCTAATCTTTGATAAGGGGGCAAGAAATGTGAAGTGAAGTAAGGAAAGCCTCTTTAACAAATTGTGCTGGCAAAACTGGACAGCTACTTGCAAAAAAGTGGGCTCAGATCTCTCCCTAACACCATGTATAAAAGTAAGATAAACATGGATTAAAAACCTCAACATCAGACAGGAATCCATAATGTACATTCAAGACAAAGTTGGCAAAACCTTCCATGATATTGAAGCTAATGGTATCTTCAAAGATGTCACGCCACTGGCCAAGCAAGTGAAAACAGAGATAGACAAATGGGACTATCTTAAACTAAGAAGCTTCTGCACCTCAAAAGAAACAGTGACCAAAATACAAAGACAGTCTACAGAATGGGAAAGGATATTCGCCAAATACACATCCGACAAGGGGTTGATATCATGGATATACGAAGTACTGGTTGAACTCCACAAGAAGAAAACATCCAACCCCATAAAAAAATGGGGCGATGAAATGAACAGAAACTTTCCCAAAGAAGAAATCCGAATGGCTAAAAGGCACATGAGAAAATGCTCCACATCATTAATCATCAGGGAGATGCAGATCAAAACAACAATGAGATATCATTTCACACCACAGAGACTGGCCCACATCCAAAAGACCAAAAGCAACCGGTGTTGGTGCGGATGTGGCGAGAAAGGGACTCTTCTTCACTGCTGGTGGGAATGCCAACTGGTTCAGCCCTTTTGGAAAACAGTATGGACGATTCTCAAAAAATTAGAAATTGAGCTCCCATTTAATCCAGCAATACCACTCCTGGGAATATATCCCAGAGAGGCAAAAATGTATAGTCGAAGTGACATCTGCACTTGTTTGTTCATTGCAGTACTCTTTACAATAGCCAGAATCTGGAAAAAATCTGAGTGCCCAAGAACAGGTGACTGGTTAAAGAAATTTTGGTACATCTACACAATGGAGTATACTATGCAGCTGTTAGAAAAGATGAAGTTGTGAAATTCATATACAAGTGGTACTACATGGAAAGTATCAATGCTAAGCGAAATGAGTCAGAAAGAGAGGGACAGACATAGAAAGATTGCATTCATCTGGGGGAACATAAAGTAATAAAATAGAAGACTAACACCCAAAAATAGCCGAGATAAGTACCAGGAATTTTACTCCATGTCTTTGAGGCCAGCCACACATGCTAGGGGAAAAGGGAGCTCAAATAGAGAAAGGAGCACCAAATAAAGGGTGTTGGGAAGATCCTCTAAGGATGGGAGAAGCATGCTATGCTGAGAGTAGATTATAGACCAAATATGATTACCACTCAATGTCTCTTTTGCAAACCACAGCACCCAAAAGGAGAGCGAGAACAAAAGGGAATGCCCTGCCACAGAGGTGGGGGGGGATGGGGGGATACTGGGATCATTGGTGGTGGAGAATGGGCACTGGTGGAGGGATGGGTACTCGATGGGTATAACTGAAACCCAAACACAAAAATTTGCAAACCACAACACCCAAATAGGAGAGAGAGCACAAAAGGGAATGCCCTGCCACAGAGGCAGGGTGGGATGGGGGTTGGGGGGTGGGAGGGATACTGGGATTCATGGTGGTGGGAAATGGGCACTGGTGGAGGGATGGGTATTTGATCATTGTATAATTGAAACCCAAGCACAAAACTTTCTAAGTCTACAACTGTACCTCATGATGTCTCACTAATAAAAATTTTTTAAAAAATTAAATTAAAAAAATTAAGGGGGCTGGAGAGATAGCACAGCGGGTAGGGCATTTGCCTTGCACGCAACCAACCTGGGTTCGATTCCCAGCATCCCATATGGTCCCCTGAGCACCGCCAGGAGTAACTCCTGAGTGCAGAGCCAGGAGTAACCTCTGTGCATTGCCAGGTGTGACCCAAAAAAGCAAAAGAAAAAAAAATTAAGGAAAAAAGAGAAGTAGAGCTTCTTTTGTTGAAGAAGTAGAAGAGAGGAGGAGGGTTGGAAGGGCAGATGCACAGATGAATATTCTGTAAAAATTGTTACTTGTTCCAAGAAATGCTATCTGAACTGGGAAATGAGACTGTTCCTGTGTCGTGTTTTTCAGAAGGTATGACCAGAGGTCAGGAGACAAGGACTGGAAATGGCGGAGCATCCAGCAAGACAGGTAAGGTTGCTCATGGCCTGGGGTGGAGGTGGCTCAGCGGATACCATGGTACAGGATATGGCAGTGATGGGGGTTCAGGGAAAACAGTGGGCAGAAGTGAGCCGACTATGGAAGGTGAAGGTCATAGATCAAGGGTGTGGAAGATCAGGAGTCCAAAATCATGAGTCCAGTTTCCTTCTGCCCTGGATTTCAAGCACACATTGACAGGGGCAAAGTTCAGTCCACAATAGAAATTTTTTCTCTATTTGTTTGGCCTCATTCTGTGTTTGCTTGTTTTGTATTTGCTTGGGTAAGAGCACATAATAGTCAATGTTTGACACCGGCCATGTTGATAATAGGTGATGTAGTAGAAATGTGTTGATTAAAACAGCAGTGTCATATTTATTATATGAACAACCACATAAACTGAAGTGTTGGACTTATGTAGTGGGACAAAAAAAATCTAGGGTTCTGCTGAAGGATATTAGTGTCACTTCTTATAACCTTGGAAAGACGTCAGAAGACAAATGAGCCTGTTACATTTCAGGAAAATACAAATAATGTGCACTATTTTTTCAAAACTCAACATACTTTTTTGAAGGATGCTTTCCTCATTTTTAATTAATTTATTTATTTTTGCTTTTTGGGTCACACCCGGCAATACACAGGGGTTACTCCTGGCTCTGCACTCAGAAATTACGCTCAGGGGACCATATGGGATGCTGGGAATCGAACCCGGGTTGGCCGTGTGCAAGGCAAACGCCCTACCTGCTGTGCTATTGCTCCAGCCCCGCTTTCCTCATTTTTAAAAATCAATTTCTACAGTGATTTCTCGATAACATTGACAAATAAGATCATATTTTATCTTTGTTAAGCAGTTGGAGCCTAAATAGGATGGCTGATGTGAAAAACTGAAGATATATATATATATATATATATATACACATACATATATATATATACACACATATATATATATGAACTGGAACAATAGCACAGTGGGTGGGATGTTTGCCTTGCTTGCAGCCGACCCGGGTTCAATTCCTCCGTCTCTCTCAGAGAGCCTGGCAAGCTACCGAGAGTATCCTGTCTGTACGGCAGAGCCTCTCAAGCTCCCCTTGGTGTATTCAATATGCCAAAACCAGTAACAACAATTCTCACAATGGAGACGTTACTGATACCCGCTCAAGCAAATCAATGAACAATGGGAGGACAGTGCTACAGTGCTACTTATATATAAATATATATACACATGTATATAAAGAATTCAGACGTGAGAATTTAAGATCTGAGAAATTAAGGCCTCAGTCTGTTTCTTTTGAAGGGGACAGAGAACCGTCATAGCATTTTTATTTTAAATTTGTAACTTACTGACAAATTACAGTTTTCTGACCATCACCTATTCCTTTCTAGATGCCACGGCTAGTGGAAGCAATTCCGTTTGGAGAGAATACAACTGGAGAAAAAGTAAAAATGAATAAGAACTTACTTGACTTTTATGTTACTAGGAAATTATTTTAATGTTGAATGTTTATTATATTTCCTAAACCTTTCAGAAGACAAAAAAAATTAGTGTCTCTTAGTAACGATTTTTTCCAAACGCTCATAAATTCATGTTGCTTTTGCTTTGTTTTGTTTGGAGGACACACCCAGCAGTGCTCAGGGTTTACTTCAGACTCTTCTCTCAGGAATCACTCCTGGCAGCCTCAGGGGACCATAGGGGGTGCTGGGAATCAAGGAACTTCCAAGGAAAGCACCCTACCTGCTGCTCTATCACTCCAGCCTCTCATGTTGCTTTTTATTCTGATTTTAAAAATACAGATTTCTCAAAAATGCTGTCATACACATGTCCAGAACGTAATAGGTTTTTATTTCCATGACTAGAATAATTATATGCATACTTTTCCATTTCTATTAAAATTAATGTATCATTTTAACTATATGCATACTTTTCCTTTTCTATTAAAATTAAAATATCATACCCACCAAAATCAAAACACAAACTTATAATTGCACTAGTAAAAGCTCACCTCGGGGCTGCTTTGAGATGCATTGTTCTCATGGTTCACACAGGAAAGTAATTTTTCTTTGTTGTAGGTTTTTCTTCTTCATAGGATTTTGTCAGTGAGTGCTGTCAGGGATTCTGCTCTGGGTTTTGTTTGTTTTTTACTGTGCTAAATGAATATAGAAACTTTCCTATAATAGACGTATTAAATCACGGCTACATATGTTTCCACAGACTGTTTCTCTTTTCGGTTCGTTAATAGACTCTTTGTCCTGAAGAAGCTCTGGTGGGTTTGGGGTTTTTGTTTGTTTGTTTTTGCTTTTTTGGGTGAGGCATACCCAGCGGTGCTCAGAGATCACCCCTGGCGGGACTTGGGGGGGGGGGCCTATGGGTGCAAGGCGAGCACCCTACCTGCTTTTCCATCGCTCCAGCCCAGAAGCTGTGACTTTTGTAGGCAGCCAAATTTGTCAGCTTTTTTCTTCTCTGGTTCTTGAATATCCTTATTCTGACAACAAACTTTTCCATTCAAAGATTACTTTTTTTTTTTTTAGTGTACCCGGTAAGCTACCAAGAGTATCTCGCCCACACAGCAAAGCCTGGCAAGCTACCCATGACATATTCCATATGCCAAACACAGTAACAGTTGTCACAATAGAGATGTTACTGGGCCCGCTTGAGCAAATCGATGAACAACGGGAGGACAGTGACAGTGACAGTGATGTTTTTCATTATCATGATTATTATCAAGACACAGTGATTCACAGCGCTGTTAATAGTTCAGTTGTAGGCATACAATGTCACCATGACACAGTCATCACAACATAGTACCAGGGTCCCTCCTACACTGCACCTCCTCTCACCCCCCTGCCCCTCCAACCTCAACAAGCTCAGTTCTTAGGCTACTCTCAGAGCTGTTAATTATGAACCATTGCTTATCCCTTTGCTGTGTTTCTTTAAACTCCACATAGGGGAGATTTTGCGCTTGTCCCTCTTCTTTTAACTCACTTTACTCAACATCAAGCTCCAGTTTCACCAAGTGGCAGTGGAATGTGGGCTTTCATCTTTTCTTGGAGCTCAGTACTATTCCATTGGGTATATCTCTGTTTCTGTATCTGCTCGTCTGTTCTGGGGACTTGGGCTGGTTATTTTCTCTCTAATCTTAAATTTTATGCTCACTTTTCTACTTTTGATGATCTTTATCTTTCACTTTGGGCTGGAGCGACAGCACAGTGGTAGGGCGTTTGCCTGCACGCAAGTGACCCAAGCTGGGTTCGATTCCTCTGCCCCTCTTGGAGAGCCCGGCAAGCTACCGAGAGTATCTCGCCTGCACGGCAAGCTCCTCGTGACATATTCCATATGCCAAACACAGTAACAACAAGCCTCACAATGGAGGCGTTACTGGGTTCGCCTAGAGCAAATCGATGAACAATGGGAGGACAGTGACAGTGACAGTGATCTTTCACTTTAGTTGCGGAAATATCCCATCTATTTTATTCTTCTAAACTTGTCTTCATTTTTTTTCTTTTTGGGTCACACCCAGCGATGTACAGGGGGCTATTCCTGGCTCTTCACTCAGGAATCATCCCTGGCGATGCTCAGGGGACCATATGGGATTCTGGGAATCAAACCTGGGTTAGCCACGTGCAAGGCAAACTCCCTACCCGCCGTTCTATTGCTCCAGCCACATTGTCTTCACTTTCTGATGTGATTTTTTTTATATACTCTTTCTTAAACTATGACTATTATGAAAGTGAATTCAACTTTTAGTTTTTCAAGGCAAGTCACAGTATTTTGGCAGCTTCTTTCCGGCTGATTCAGAGGCTGGTCTGCCTTCCTTTCCTTCTACTCCTCAACTTATGCTGTCAGATTCAGCATGATTTCAGATGTTATTTTTGCTTTTTTGTTATGGTAGAGCAAAACAAAGCAAAACACCGTGTGTGTGTGCGTGTGTGTGTGTGTGTGTATGTGTGTGTATGTACTTTGAATGACTGATACTATATAATGCAGGGTCTACTTGATGCTGCTTTTTTCAGTGTGATAACACCATGATGGATGTTGATAGCTAGACATCTAGCACAACGGTAGAACGAGGGACCTGAAGAGGTAGGGCATATATAGGAGGTAGGGCACTTACCTTGCACTTACATAGGGCGTATATAGGAGGTACTTATATAGGGCATATATAGGAGGTAGGGCACTTACCTTGCATGCGGCCAACTTAGATTCAATCCCTAGCACCCTGTTTGTTCTCCAGGCCTGTCAGGAGTGATCCCTAAACACAGAGCCAGGAGTAAGCCCTGAGCAAAGCGCACCCCACTTCACTCACACACAAAGAGTGAAATGAGGAATGAAATAAGTTACCGGCATAGAATGTAATGCTCTATGTATCTAAAGGTTGTTTTCTTTTTGAGTTTGAAGTAAAATGGAAAAGATTTAAGTAAAAAAAATAAGCAAGCCTCAAAGAGCTAAGAATAATATAAGAGAATTAATTAACACCTGTCACCTTACTCTAATTCTGATCTTCCTGCGAGATTTCATCATTGATGCTCTTCGTAGAAATGGAGTAGAATAAGACTGAATCACCATAACAAAGAGACCCCAAAATAATGACTAGAACTATGTGCTTTCCTTACACTCGCCAGAAGACTAGACGTTGTCAGAGAAACCTGTTTCCCTCAATACAAAGTTTCCCTCTCTGAATCCAAGAAAGCTGATTTGGTTACCATTGACTGCCATTCAGTGGGAGTGAGAGAAATGGATTAAAAACAAAACAAAACAAAACACCAAACTCTTTTAATGAAAAAATTCTGCTGTTCTGCTCCCATCCTATAAGTCAATCTCAGCCAGCTACAATAGAGGCTCAGAAATATAGTTTGTAGGTAGTGGCCATAGATGCAGCAAACATACATATATATATGTGTATATATATAATACATTGTGTATAATGTAGTATATGTCACATTTTAGTTTATTGTATATTTAATATAAAATGACATAAATAATATAATAGACACATTTAACTCTAAACTTAAATTCTAATATTATATGCATAAGCATCTACTTCTCCCATCTCTGGCATAACTCCTTTTGATTATTTCCCAGATTATACTTACCCAGATCTAACTTCCTCCTCTCTGGAAACAGTTCTCTGCCTTCCGTGCTTTGCTAATTGAGTTGCCGTTCGAGCACACATCACACTCACACTCTCTCCTGCTCCTTCTCCCACAGTCTCAGCACAGGGCCCCACGCGCCCTGTCCTCTATGCCCCCCATCAAGCTATTTCTCACACAACACACCCTGGGCCTTCCAGCTCTAGGCTGTAGACTTCACTGCTTCCCTCAAACTTCTGGAAACACTGGTCAGTTCTCTGAAGACTGAAGTTTTCTGGCTTGTGTTGAGAGATGGGGAACACTTTTACTCAACTTCTTTAGAACATCTCTGGTGTCAAGAGCAATATTCCTGTCAGAGAACCAAAAATTAACCAGTTTACTTTCTGTGAGGCATTTGCCCAGGGACATCACAAAGAACAATAACGAAGGAAAGATCAGCCTCTTGATATTAGCAGATCTTAAGTCTCAAATATCCTAGAAAAGACGGTCCTTGGTCAACTGAATCAAACCACTTTTATACCTATCATTCACTTGACCACAACACTTTTGATGAGCAGTGAGACTAGTAGTATCAGGAAAAGGCATAGAGGGATAAAAAACCAAACATGTTAGTCTAAGAAGTCTAACACTGAACAAGTCTAGATTGTATTCAGCAGGAAGGAAGGGTGAGCATTCTGGGACTCGAATTTCTATTTCTACAAATTTCCCTAATTTGTAGATTTAAATTAAAATGCTATATATATATATATATTTGCTTTTTGGGTCACACCTGGCGATGCACAGGGGTTATTCATGGCTCATACACTCAGGAATCACTCCTGGCGGTGCTCAGGGGACCATATGGGATGCTGGGAATCGAACTCAGGTCGGCCACGTGCAAGGCAAACGCTCTACCCACTGTACTATCACTCCAGCACCTAAAATGCTAATTTTTGATCCAAACTCAACATGAACTAGATTTTGAATCACTTTCACTATACTTTCAATCCAAAAACTAAGAAAATGGACAAAGATGATGGCTGGTGTTTTTCTGTTGTTGGTTCATCACATTTTACTATCCAAATTTCCTATCCAAATTTCTGTGCTGCTGCTACAGATTTCTTTCTCTTGACAAAAGCAAGCCTGCATTGCTTCCCTTGTTTTTAAGTTTTGGGTCTTTCATTAGGAATGGAGATAGTTAAAGTCTCTTGATCATAAATAAATTAGTAGATATGAGAATCTTGTGTTTGAATCTAACTTGTAGTGCTCAATTTAATATGTGCTAGCTCTCACTCTCATTTTCATTCTCCCAATGCTCTTTGAGATACATACTAAACTTTATTTCGATCTTATTTTTTTTTTTGCAGATTTGGCGATCAAATACAAGGCCTCAAGAGCACAAGGTAAGTATTCTACAACTAAGAAACATCTTAAGTCTAATTTTTTATTAATATCGATATAAATTAGTTTAAGTTAATGTGGTGGTAAAAAAAAATAGTGACACTTAGAATGAACCCAGGTTAACCATCAAAGTCTTGGTTTAAGTATAAGGTTGGGATTATATATTTTTCGTATACGTTAAGCACTTAAAGAGCTATGTAAAATGTATTTTAATTACTATTGTATGCAATACAACTTTTCAGCAGCATCCATGTTTGTATTTGTCTATTTCTCAGTGAAAAAGAGAGATGTTCAGATAATCAAAGTCCTGAGAGGCAGAAAAAGAGATATTTTTCCCCCAATTAGATAAACATCTACATTTTCATGCTTTTTGTTGTGCTTTTAGTAACAAACATCTTTCCTTATTTACTTAATGTATCTAGTCTTCCCATTGAGAAGTTAATTAACTAAATTAACTAAATATCGAGTTTAGTTAATTTTCAAAATGTGTTGAGGGAGAAAGATGATGCAAACATATGGCTTGGTGATGAATCCTCAGCCAGAATTGTTGGTCTGAAAGCTGTGTCAGTAGGCCAGCTGGCCATTTTTCTCTCATGCTCAGACAGTCACGTAGATGTGGGTCTGATGCTTCACCTCCTCTGCCTCAGTTTATCTATATTTATAGTGAAATAAAGACTTCAAAAAGTAATGACTAGTCATAATTCTAAATAGGGCTGGAGTGATAGCCCAGAGGGTAGGGTGTTTTCCTTGCACACGGCTGACCCGGCTGACCTGGGTTTGATTCCTCTGTCCCTCTCAGAGCATCTCGCCTGCACAGCAAAAGCCTGGCAAGCTACCGATGACGTATTCAATATGCCATACACAGTAACAACAAGTCTCACAATGGAGATGTTACTGGGCCCGCTCTAGCAAATCCATGAACAACAGGAGGACAGTGACAGTGACAGTGACAATTCTAAATAGACCACCCTCCGTGGCCCATACCCACTTTATATACAGTTTCTCAGCCTTTGGCTTAGAAAGGCTGAGGAACTGTCCAAACTACTTGGACCCTGCTTATATTTTCATTTGTATTTTCTTCATTTATGCTCTCCAATCCTCGTGTATTTTGTCAGCTGTGTGTTCCGTTGTTTCTTTGAGCTCATTATGCATCCTTAGCAGTTCCACTCTAAATTCCTTATCAGAGAGGTTATATAGCTCCTTATTACCAATGGGGCCAATTTGGACTAGTGTCTTCACTTCCTCAACCTGGTGGGTTTCTGTGTTGCTTTACCATTGTGACCTTTGCAGTTTGGAGTTCTTTTTTGCGTGTTTCTGCGTGGTTAGGAGCCTACATCAGAATGTCTTTGTGTGTTTATAGCGAGTTATGGAGAGGTGAAGAAATTATCTCTTCCTGGGTGGGGTTCCCTGGTACCTGTGTAGGAAAATTGCCCTTCTGGGTCCAAAGCTGGCCCCTAATGTCCCCCTACTTGGATCCTGGACAGCTCCCCTTCTTGTATCCTGAAGCCAGGAAACTCCAGCCTTAAAGGAGCATCTTTAATGGTTGCCTAGGTCATTGGTTGGAGCCAGAAACAGCAGCTCATTGGCCTAAATCTTTTTTTAAACTATGTTTTATTAAATGTATTTTTACATTAAATTTACTTTTCAAGGCTTGATGGGTTTTGAAAATTTTCAGTCATATAACCACCACCATAATCAAATAGAACATTTATATCAATCCAGAAAGGTTTCTTTATAACTTTCATTTTAAAAAAATTTAAACTGCGATTTACAAAGTTATTGCAAGTAGACTTATAATCTTTCAGCATTGGTTTCCACCATCAGTGTCAACTCCTGAAAGCATTGTTGGCTTGTGATTTAGACATATATACATGCCATACCTCTATGCCACCCACGTGTCTGAGGCCCCTGCCCTGCCCTTGGTACCTCCTGTCTACCTCTTCTTGATATCCTCTTTTTTTATATAGGAGTACTGCTATTTATTCAGCCACTGATTAGCACAGTGGGTATTACCCACATTTAGGAGCGATAGCACAGTGGGTAGGGTGTTTGCCTTGCACACGGCCGACACAGCCAACCCGAGTTCGATTCCTCCACCCCTCTCAGAGAGCCCAGCAAGCTACCAAGAGTATCTCACCTGCATGGCAAAGTCTGGAAAGCTACCCATGATGTATTTGATATGCCAAACAGAGTAACAAGTCTCACAATGTTACTGGGCCTCCTTGAGTAAATTGATGAACAATGGGAGGACAGTGACAGTGACAGTGACCAATGATTTACAAAGTTGTTTATTGTACCATGATTTACAATATTATTCATAATCAATTTTCAGGGATACAGTTTCTGAACACCAATCCTGACGCCAATATCAGGGATCACTCCTGGGTGGGCTCAAGGACCTTAGGGGGTGCCAAGGATCAAACCCAAGCAGCAAGGCAAGGCAAGCAGCCTAAACTCTGTACTATCACTCTGGCTACTGGAATTTTTTCCCAAGGCACTAGACAGCCTCCTGAAAAATGACATATGCATGTTTTTATGAAATTCTTCTATTTTCAGTGTTATTGGTGTTATTAAATTTTTTAAATAATTTATTTATTTATTGAATCACTGTGGGAAAAGTTACAAAGCTTTCAGGTTTAGGTCTCAGTCATGCAAATATCAAACACCTTTCCCTTTACCAATACTTATTTTTTACCACGAAGAACCCCAATAAAACCCCACCTCCCACCCCTCCCGATGCCTGCGAGGCAGATGAATTCTAGTTGACACTCCATCTGCTTTGATTAGATTCATTGTTTCAATAAAAGATGCACCACTATTATTTAGAGTTTACCCCCTCCCCCCAAATCAGACATGCTGAGAAAGCATTGTGAAGTGATTCGCTTTCTACAGCTGGGTTCAAGAATTAAATGTTTGTTTTGGATTTCCGCTATTTTCCTGATTAACCCTGGAAGTATTTCTACTGAGAGTCAGATAATTAAGAGATTGGTTTCTGTGCTCTGGAGTTGTGGCCGTGCTGGAGAGCCGCTCGTGGGGGGCAACTGGTGGCCTTGGTAAGGCGTGAAGAACGGACCAGAACGCCCCCCTTCCCATGGGGTTTTAGTCGCCCCCACACCCCCGGCTCACACCTGCTCTCCACAAGGCACCCATGTGGCCGCCATCTTTCTTTCCAGAGAGGAGAGGGCGAATGGGGCATGGTGTTATTAAATTTAATAGTTTTGTTTCTCTACTTTTTCAGGGAGAAGACAAAGCAACATTAAACTGTTGAAGAAAAAGTTAAAAAGAAGAAAAAGAGGTTAAAATACATGATTAATATGGTTAAAGACAAAATTCATCCAAGTCAGTGTTGAGCTCTCGTTGGCTGTATTCCAGGAACCAGTTATCCCGTCCACCAAGTAAAAAAGCACCACAATTAATGTGTGGTGCAAATGGGATAAATCTCAGAATAAAGGGGGAACAGAACAGGGGGGTGACGTCATCCCTCCAGGGCAGTGGGGATCTTATGAAGCGACTTTATTCCTAGTACAAGCAGGGAATTCCAGATTAGTTGACTTAAAATTCCACTTTGGAGAGAGGCTGGAAATTAATTCTGCTAGGTTAGTTGAAAGTCCGAGTGGGGCTTAGAATAAGCGTCTTCCTCTGGGGCTTGTTTTTACTCTTATTCAAAACAATGTACTTTCAATCCTATGCATCTAAACTTTTAGCTGATACTCTGTGGCCACTCGGCTTCTGGACTTAGGTTCTGGAGTTGGGACAACCCCCAGGATACTGCGGGTCTTGGTCAGACTAGTCGACAGGACAGAACACTGATATGGCAGACCCACTGACCATCAGCTATTCTGGGCCTGTGCTGGGTTCCTTACACTGCACTGATAACTTTTGAGGAGATAGAAATGAAGTCTGTTGGGGCCAGAGTGATAGTACAGCGGGTAAGGCGTTTGCCTTGTACACGGCCGACCTGGGTTTGATCCCCGGCTAACCATATGGTCCTTCAAGCAATGCCAGGAGTAATTCTGAGTGCAGAGCCAGGAGTAACTCCTGAGCATCACTGGGTGTGGCCCAAAAAGCAAAAATAAAATGAAGCCTGTGTAAAGTATATGTTGTATGAGTCATGGGCTCACTCTCTGGCCACCCCCTTGCCCACATAGAGCTGAAGGCTGTCCAGCAAAGGAGATTTCGGGTGGAAATCCAAGACCTGAACCCAAGTTTCTATAATTCCTTTGGTTGTCATGTGTCCTTTTCTTTTTGCCTCTATTTCGCCAACCATTTTCTCCAATGGGGGGTGGCCAGTGAATTAGACGTCAGCTCCCTTAAACTGAGCTCAGTAGCCTGTCTCCTAGGACCATGGACAGAGCACGCACATCCCATCAGAGGCAAGGCTCAGCATCTGTTTCCTGGCTCTCCCTGAGAGCCAGCCAGAAGGCAGATGCGAGAGTTTCTGCCTAGAAAGTCCAGTTGAGGACGTTATCCACCCTGCAGCAGTGGAATTCCCCCCCCCCCCCAGCACCCCCAGTATACACAGATGGCCCAGCTCTGAGCCGCTCATTCCGAGCTTCCAGACCCAGAGGAAAGGCACCTGAAAGAGAAGTGAAAGAAGGCAGAGAACAGAGGAGTGCTTGCCCTGTAGGGGTTGGTTCCTGGTGACTTAGTTTTGGAGACAAAACCAAAGCTCGAGGGATTTCCCTCCATTGACTAAACCCAAGTAGTTCGGTGACTAGAAATTTCCCGTGGGATTTCATCAGATTTCATCAGAAGACAGATCATCATGTGAGGGGCATTGGAATTTCTCAGGAATTTCTCCTCCTATACAAGGCCTTTATGTTAAGATTTTACAGAGTGAGAGTGGAGGACATTATTACATTATTTTTATCTAATTTTCTCCCTTCGTCCCCCACCTTGCTGTCACCTGCCGCCACTGCCCCAAATAGACTTAGAAATGTAACTAATCCATCACTGTCACTGTCACTGTCCTCCCGTTGTTCATCGATTTGCTTGAGCGGGCCCAGTAACATCTCCATTTTGAGACTTGTTACTGTGTTTGGCATATTGAATACGTAACGGGTAGCTTGCCAGGCTTAGCTGCATGGGCGAGATACTCTTAGTAGCTTGCTGGGCTCTCCGAGAGGGGCGGAGGAATCGAACCTGGCTTGGCCAGGCTGGCTGTGTGCAAGGCAAAAAACTTGCCGCTGTGCTATCGCTCTGGTCTATGGCCATAGCACCCTGAACGCGCCCAATCTCGAACTAATTCATGGTGGGAGAAAATCAATATATTTTATGTTATAAAGGAGATTTCTTGGTGCTGGAGAGATATTACAGCAAGTAGGGCACTTGCCTGGAGCATAGCTGCTTCAGGTTCAATCCCTGGTACCCCATACAGTCCTTGGAGCCTTCCAGGAGTGATCCCTGGTTGCGGAGCCATGAATAAGAGCTGGTACCACCAGCTGTGGCCCAAAACAAATAAATAAAATAAAGGAGAACTCTCAAGAAGGGTGAGAGAGTCACAGAACAGAGGTAGAGGAAGATGGAGGAAAAATACCCTAATTACCATCATGCCTCCTGGCAGGTCTAAGAACTCGCAAAGACAGAAATATGAACTTTGATGTTCCTGAGCTGCCCGTGACCTGTGGTGAGGTGAAGGGGACTTTGTACAAGGAGAAATTCAAGATTGGTAAGTTTCATGGTGTTCTCTGCTTTTCAGATGAAAAGTGTTGGGTGTCTCCAAGACCATCCTCAGGTCTCTTGGGTTCATGAGCCTCATTATATGGTGATTGTGACTGGTTGACTCTACTGAATAGCTCCAAAGCAAAATCAGTCAAGGAAAAAAAGTCACATGGGACAGAGCCCAAAGGACTCCGGGGTGTGTTTATAAGTTTTGTCCTGGTGGAATTGCAGAGGGTGCACTTAAATTCTCCAACAACAAACTAGCAACATGTATGGGATATGATCTACTTGAAAAGCAGTCCTGAGCCTCAAAGTCCTGAATTTCGAATCTGCTGCCACATGGCATTATGTCTCATGTTTGTCACAAAAGTCAAGACTCCCATAAGGAAGACAGGTGCTTGGAATGAACCATGTCATTTGTAGAAACAATAGAGGTACTTTGAGCCCACCTCTAAGTTCTGGGAATCATGAGATTCTTCCCCAAAGCCAGGACCTGGTCAGCCTTGCAAGCAGACCCTTCTAAGACTGACACCCGGGGCCTTCTCTGTGCACTTTCTGCATCGTCATCCCAGATCAGCTGGAGGAAAGATGGCACTGCTGTGCTTTTGAAATTCATAAACAATGGCTGGAGAGATAGTACAGCAGGTAGAATGTTTGCTTTGCGCTTAGCCAGCCCAGTCTGATCCCCAGCGTCGGGTATGGTCCCTTGAGCACCACTAGAAGGAACCTCTGAGGCAGGGCCAGGAGTAATCCTGAACACCTCTGGGTGCAGTTCCCTGCACACAATTCATAAAAGTTATCCTACCAAACCATCTTTACCTTCCACCATGCCACCCATCTAGCACCCTAGAAGCTTTTTTTTTATTCCAGATTAAGAATGTACACAATCGAGAAATTCAATAGCCATCCCAGGTCTGAAATGTCTCTATGGCTGTGCTGGCCGAGAAGAGCTTGGGATTCCAGCTTTAGCTGGACCACATAGCTGTTCTGTCTGAATCAGGTTACCCATATCTCTCATCCTCAACTTCCTCTTCTGCCAAATGGCATAGTAATAAAACCTGCCTTACCATATTGTGATGAGAAAAGAGCTAAAAAACAGATGTAAACTACTTTGCAGATAATAATAGAGAACGCCAGGGCCTCGAGCAATAGAGAACACTAGGCATGTTCATTTGTCATGATTAATTCCCCTTTCCCCAAAACAGAGGTCTCCAGATACCAACAGCTCTCTTTTTTAAAATTTTTCATTTATTTTTTTATTTTAATGAATCACCATAAGATACAGTTACAGAGTTACAAACTTTCGTGCTTATGTTTCCATCAAACAATACCCATCCCTCCACCAGTGCCCATTCTCCACCATCAGTGTTTCCAGTGTCCTTCCTGCCACCCCCACCCCTTCCCACTCCCTGCCTCTGTGACAGACACATTCCCTCTTACTCTCTCTTTCCTTTTGGGTTACCAACAATTCTCAATGTTTACTCCATACCTCTATTGCATATGTGTCATTTCATTTCCCTGCTAGACAGTATTTTCATAATTATTTTATTTTACTTTTGAGATTTCTGGGTCAGGGGTTACTCATCGTTCTATGCTCCAGGCTTACTCCTGACTCCATGCACAGGGATCTCTCCTGGGGGTAGTTCAGGGGACCATGTGTGGTTCCAGGGATCAAAGCAGGACCACCAACATGCAAAGCAATTGCTGTACCCCCTGTGCTAGATCTTGATCCCCTTCATAACCATTTTAACATAGACTATGCATGCATTCAAAACAGGACCATTGATACCATTCCCTGGATGATCAACATTATACCAGCCGAGGTATCTGTGAACAATGCCACATGGCCACCGTCTGTCTCAGCTGCTCCCTGCCAGTCACTCTCACGCTACCCCACATCTCAAAGAAAGGAAGAGCATCCTCTTGACCCTTCTTTAGAAACAGACCATTTTATTTCTCTTCAATTGAACAAGTTCCTTTTTCCAAGTCAATGTTCCTGGTCATTATCATCCTCCTTATTGCACAAAAGCCAAGAAAGGGGCAGCCTGACCCTTTCTGCCCTCACCTTTAAGTCTCACGGTTGGCCCCGATCCCACTGGTGGGCAGCCAGGTTTGGATTTACTGCTGTTGGGGGCACACCCTGGCAGCCAACGACTCACAGCTCATCTTGACCTTGCAGGGACCTCGTCCAAGTGTATACTGAGAGAAAACGGAGAGGCATGGCTCACGCTCCGGGAATTTGAAATTGAAGGAGGGAGGGGATCATGGAAGAACTGGCGGTTATCTGTGCGCTGTGGGGGCTGGACCCTCAAGGAGCTGATTAAGGTACCGTGGAAACTTTACTTCACCTTCACTTCCTTTCTACCAGGTAGTCCCCACACAGTCTCAGCTTACACACGATTCTCTAAAGTCCCCTCCAAAACTCACTGTACTGGTTTCCTAGGTGACGTAGAACTCAAGCTAAGCAGTATCGGAGGGTCACTGTCACTGTCACTGTCCTCCCATTGTTCATCGATTTTCTTGAGCGGGCCCAGTAGCATCTCCATCGGAGACTTTGTTGTTACTGTGTTTGGCATATCGAATACATCACGGGCAGCTTGCCAGGCTCTGCCGAGCAGGCAAGATACTCTCAGTAGCTTGCCAGGCTCTCTGAGAGGGGCGGAGGAATCGAACTCGGGTCGGCCATGTTGGCTGCGTGCAAGGCAAACGCCCTACCGCTGTGCTATCGCTCTAGCCCGCGGGAGGGTATGAAAGGAAATTGCATCTTCAGCAGCGGTTAAAGTGAAAAGCCTGGCAAGACTTTACAAGGAGAGCTAGAGAGAGGGTGCAGTTGGCTTTATAGTGAGTCTGAATTCCAAAGAGAAGCATGTTCAAGACGTGGGGAGGATGGTTGTTTTCTGTAAAGACAACTTGCATTTGCGTTGACATTCAGTACCCAGGAGGCAGCTGGAAAGAGCGAGCTCACAAAAGTAGAACAAAACTGATCCCAGCATCAACCCTGATTCTCTTTCAGAAAAATCTTCTTCCAAATCCACCAAGATCAAGAAGACGGGTGAGTGTCGTGGGCCGTCCTGCAGTGTCTCGTCTTTCCCAGTGTTCGCTTTCCATCTCTCTGGCCTTACAGGTTTCTAAATACATTGATTTTGATGGATTGATTTTGTAACATGGTGCTTTTGCTCTTGCTACTTTCGTATATTATAGTGTGGGAGGACGGGACTCCTTGGAGCATGAAAACATTGGAGATGGTGATGGGAATAAGTCTCATATATAGACAATAAGTCAGACCTGACCTCATCTGGTTATTTTAGGAGATATGGGATGCCATACTGTCTTAAGCTAAACATGAAAGATGGGAGATGGGGTTGAAAAGATGAATAAGAAAGACATGTGGCGACCCAGTTAGTGACAATTGCTTTTGCAAAACTGTTTTCTCTTCGGTTTTTCTGGGTTCCAGACTTAATGATAAACAGGAATGGAGCAAAATTTGCCTCACGAAGCAGACACTCACCAAATAAGATTAACAGGTGGTCTAGAGGCATGGATGGATGATCAACAGCTCTTATTTCTGCAGGGAAGGGAGGTCTTGGGCCAAACCCGGTGATGCTCAGGGATTTCTCCTGACTCTGTACTCAGGAATCACTCCTGGTGGTCTCAGGAGACCATCTGGGGCACAGGGGATCTAACCAGATATGTTGTGTCCAAGGCACACAGCCTTCCCGCTATACTATGGCTCTGGCTCTCATCAACTCTTTTTGTTAGGGAAAGGTATTTAATTCTTTGATGAAGGAGAAACTTTGGACTTTCAGTTATCAACTCACTAGAGTGTTGTTTTGCATGCTGCATATTGCAAGTTTTCCTAATGTTAAAATGCAATGTTCTGGGCCTGGGGAAATAGTATAAAGCTTAAGGCACTTGTTTTGCATGTGGTTGACCCCAATTCAACTCTTGACACCGCATATGCTTCCCTGAGTACCGCCAGGAGTGACCTCTGAGCACAAAGCTAGGAGTGGCCCCTAAGCACAGAGCCAGGAGTAATCCCCTAGCACCACCGAGTATGGCTCAGAACCAAAAACAATTTTTTTAAAAAGATCAAATAAAATGCAATGCTCCTTCAATAGATTTTAAAATAAGATAAAATAAAGATAACAAAATGGTATGATTCTTGGATCCAAAGTGAAGAAAATGTTTCCCCAGAAACATCCTGTGATCACTCTATCAAAGGATAATTTCCTCTTGAAGGAGTGTGGCATTGTGAGTCACCTGGTAGAACCAAGACACAGGTCAGGTCACATTCTTCCCTTCCTTGATTTCTTTTGAGAGAGAGAGAGAGAGAGAGAGAGAGAGAGAGAGAGAGAGAGAGACTTGCAAGAGTTCCTTCAAGGAGATACTTCCTTCCTTCATGGAGACAGCACTCAAGAAAATAAAATAATCGGGGCACTCGCTTCAAGGTGAGATGAAGAGTGCCCACTCACCTCCCCTTTGACGGAGATACCTTGGCCAGTCCTGCCACTGGTGATATTTCAGGCTTGACCACACTAGCTCCTGAGTCCTGCCCCATTGCCTCTAGACTAGACTCAGTAACCTGGTTTTGCGTGCAATGGATTTTCTGGAGGAGATGTTCTTTGATCTGTTCATTACAGAACATCTCTGCCCAGTCCTGGGGAGCTCAGAGCGATTGGGTGTGGGTGATGAGTCAGGCTAGTCATTTCCCCTCCCTTCATTGTGGGAAAGGCTCTCGGTCCCCTCTGGGCTCACAGCTCTTACAGCCATAGTTCTCAGAGGGTCTCTGAGTGCCCCAGTTTCTGTCACTGCATCACTCTTAGTACTCAGTGACAATTGGAGATGTCAGCAGCTTCCTTGTTCCTAAGTTTCCCGATGATTCTTGAGGTGCTCTGTGACAAATCCAAGCTGATCATTTTGTTTGTTTTTCATTTGGGGCCACACCCAGAGATGCTCAGGGGTTATTCCTGGCTCTGTACTCAAGAATTACTCCTGATGGTAATTTCTGGGGTGGCGGGGGGGGGGGCGGGGCACCATATGGGATGCCAGAGATCGAACCTGTGTCTGTCGCGTGCAAGGCAAACGTCCTACCTGCTATCTTATTGCTCTGGCCCTAGCCGAACTGATCATTCACCAGCTGCTTAAGGAACCTTATCTTCTGAGTGACAGCCACATTCACCTATCTGTGCACTCATGGTTTCCCTCAATTAGCCACTTTGGAACTTGCACCTTGTACAGGGAGTTAGTCACTTAGTGCAAAAGAAGTCAGACTAACGAACCCAAAGAAAATCTCTTGGTCCAACATGGGTGAGCAGTAATGGACTGCTGGGATGTGTAGAACCATGCAGAGAGGTGGACCGTGCATGGCCAGCTCCCGGGTCATTGTGCTTTGGATGACACTGGTTATCCTCTGGTCTCTCTGCCCCAACTGATAGGTAAAAGCCAATGCAGTCATTGGTTCAGACTAAGAGGTCGGGCCTCCCACAGACAATACCCCAAGTCAACACAAGCTTTGGGGATTAGGAAGAAGACATCACAGACCTTGTCTTGAGGAGAAGAAACTATTTCACTGTGACTCTGAATTCATTTTCTCTGTAGTCCTGAGCCCTAAGAGAGCTGGAGAAAGCACTGGGGTTCTCTAGCACACTTTCATGTTGTCCAGGTAATGAGGACTTTGGGTGCTGAGTCCTCGGCCCGATACTCTCTCTGAAGCTCTTGGTCCATCTTAGAAACCAGAATCAGACTCCCCACAGGGCTTCCCGAAGGCCTGAGTGGGGGCGTGGAGCTGGGAGTGGAACTGCTGGGGACCAAACTGCCACTGACACAGAACCGAATGCTCTTTGCTTGTTCATGCCCCAGCTAGACAGATAGAACCCAAGTAGCAGATGTGAAGGAAATGCTTACACAAAGGGGAGTATGTGCCAGGAGTCCCTGACAAAAGGAAGGCAAACTGGACCTTGTGGCTGAGGAAAATTCACCTGCAGTGTTATCACTCCGTCCTTTTTCTCTTTCCAGAAGACAGCACCGACGCCTCTCAACAGTACCGCTTATGACCCTTGTGTAAGTCCCAGCTCCCGTCTGTAGCCCCAGAGCAGGCCTTGCCCCCTCTGTTTGCATCTGTGTCATTGGCATGCTTCCTTGATGATGTTCTGTTAGGATGCAGTCCAGGTTAACAGAACTCTGTGCTCTGACGTACCAGGTGCTTTGGCCAGGAGAGCTTCTGCCTCCCCTCCCTGGGCCTTACAAAGGCACTGAGAGAGAGCAAGGTGGGATGTTTAAGAATAGGACTCAGGGTTCTGGAGCCATAGTACAGCGGGTAGGGCATTTGCCTTGCACATGGCCGACCCAGGTTCGAGTCCCAGCATCCCATATGGTCCCTGAGCACCGCTAGGAGTAATTCCTGAGTGCAAAGCCAGGAGTAACCCCTGTGCATCACCGGGTGTGGCCCAAGAAGGAAAAAAATAAAAGAGTAGGACCCAGTGGGCCAGGTTGAGGACTGCATAGCTGGCTGGAGAAAGGAAGGAATCCAGGGTATCTTCAAGGATCTTCGTGGATGGCAGCGTGCGGGGTAAGCTGGGAAGCAGAAAGAGAGGAATCAGTCAGAAGCAGAGGGTTTGAGGCACAAAGTGGTTAGATACTAGAGATGATGGTAAGTGGGGTGGGCAGGGTTGTTGATCTCAGAAAGCGAAACTGAAGAAATAGGTCTTAAGTACTGGGTATAAACACAGTCGGCATGATCTGCTCTAGTTCCATTCACGCTGTGGCAAATAGCATGATTTTGTCTTTTCTTAGAGCCGCAAGCATCCCATTGTGTGTATATATATCACAATTTCCTGATCCATTTATCCATAGTTGGGCGTGTGGTATATTCCCATGTGCTTGGGAAGCCATCGGTGACAGTACTGTAAGTTACAGACTCTCAATCCATCAAAAAAAGAAAAAGTTTAGAAGAAAATAGTTGGCATGGCCAGAGTGTAGTTGAGATCATCCGGGAGAATAAGGGCAGAGCTCCAAGAAATCACAAGCTTCCAACAAGAAGCCTGACGATTAAGTAGTGAGTTGTCTAGTGTGTTGTCTTTTACCATCTTCTGTAAAAAAAAAAAAAAAAAAAAAAACCACTGTGAACCAGCTGAGTGGCTGCTCCCTAACAATACAACTATTACAAAACCTTTTTGATGCCAGCAAGACCAATGGCACTTTTTCAATGAATTAAATTGTTGTATATTTTGCCAGCAAGACCAATGGCACTTTTTCAATGAATTAAATTGTTGTATATTTTGCCAGCAAGACCAATGGCACTTTTTCAATGATATAAATTGTTGTATATTTTGGTAATTTCATACCTCTTGTTTGATAAGCACCTACTTTTTATTGTTTTTAAGATAATACCATGGCTGAAACTAAGAAAAAATGCAGACAATACAGTTTTGAATACTTGAACTGTGGCTTTATTCAGTTACAAACAGTGTATTCCCATGTGATTGCTTGGTCAACATTTTTATCAAAGACTATGAAGCCTCCAAAACCACAGAACAGTTAACGAAAATTTGGGCTGATGATAAAGATAAGGATATATCTTACTTTTAAGTACTTAAAAACATCAGAGACAGCCAACATTGCAAAAAATTTTTTTCAACAAGATCCAAACATGTTGACAAGTGGGCTGACTTACGTTTGCAAATGTTTTGTTACTGGTTGCTAAATCAGGAATACTGCACACTTTTAACAAAGAACTCATTCCACCAGCTGTAATGAAGTATTATGCACATTGCCACCCAACTCAGTGTCTGATATTATCAAGAAAGTTTCTTTGAGAAACAATCCAGTACCAAAAGAATCGATGGAATGGCAGAAGGTGCTGAAGACTCATTACGTGAACATTTTAGAAAATTCCAGTTTTTTCTACAGCTTGATCAGCCTCTCTTGCAGGAAATCAAGCCTTACTTTTAGTGTACCTGCCATTGAAAAAAAAATCTCAAAAAGTATTTTTAAATGCAAATTGATGCTAAAGGAGAATTGTTATTTCACGCATGAAGAGTTTTTCTTTGTGCTCAGTGATCATTACTATCTGGACTCAGGGGGACATATGTGGTGCCAGGGATCTAACCCTGGATTGGCCATGTGTAAAGCAAGCACCTTACCTGCTGTATTTTTCTCTCCATATTATGGGAGATTTTTTAAAATAAAAGGAAATGCCCCTAAGTAATCCCTTGTCCATTGCTGCTGCTAGTGGTCCAGCAATGATAAGACACTACTAGACTCTTCTTGCATAATTCTTAAGTGATTCTAAATATATTCTCTGTGCACTATGTCTCTCATCAATATTTAGTTGTCAGAAGTGTGAGTGAATACTTCTGTAGGTCATTGCATTCCCATGTCATTAGATCATCAGAATGTGAAGCCATTCACTGAAACACAGACTGTACCACTTTGTATTGAAAATGACGAAGAATTTTTCACTCACTGCTTCATGCAGAAGTTTGTTCACTGCTAACGGTGCCTTTTTGATTTGGTGTATACATGCTTTGATTCAGTGCTGGAGTTGTTGAAAACAAAGATATTGCTCTACCGGCCCACTTCATGGAGTCCAGAAATTACATTGCTTATTTGGCAGATTGGCTTCCTAAATTTAGTGAAACAAATCTACAGCTGAAAGAGATTTTGTAGATTTTGTTTTTGAGTCTAATCAAAACAAAAATGATTATTTCCAAATTTGTGGCAAAAATTTTTCTGGATAAACAGAATTTGGGACAAGGGAATACAGTTATTAGCTTCAGGACATGAAGATTTGTTCACCTTTTGTCAATACTTTGGAGGCTTTCCATTTGGACTTCAACCAGTGATTTGAAAATGTTTTTAAAGTGAACATATTTGCACTGTAGCACTGTCCTCCCTTGTTCGTCGATTTGCTCAAGTGGGCCCAGTAACATCTCCATTGTGAGACTTGTTGTTACTGTGTTTGGCACATCGAATATGTCACAGTTTTAAATATATTTTAATGTTCAAAGGCAAACACAAAAGCACTTCCAAAATTACAACAAGAACTGACAGGCATAGGAGCAGAGGAGAAATTCAAATTCAAATGTAAGAGTTCTGGCTACAAAAGCAGATACCTAACACTTTATCCTGAATCATGGGCAACCATATCAAAGTTTTAAGTCACATTTTTTCACCCTATTTCGTGGAATGTGGGTTCAGTGAAGTCACATTTGTTAGCTAAAAAGCATAAACCACGGACTAACAGCTAGTTTAGGAATGCTGTGCCAGTGATTAGCAGGAAAATGAAAATCAAAACAGGGATGAGATGTCATCTTACGCCAGTGCAAAAGCATAGATCAAAAAGACTAGAAAGAACTGGTGTTGGCAGGGATGTGGTGAAAAAGAAACCCTCATCCACTTTTGGTAGGACTATCACCTGATTTAGTCTCTATGAAAAACAGCTTGAATATCTCTCATTAAAGTAAGAATAGAACTAATATAGTACAATAATCAGGATATGGAAACAACCCAATATCCAATAATGAATGAATGGATAAAGAAGTTGTGTGTGTGTGTGTGTGTGTGTGTGTTTACACATTTAGTGAGAGAGTGAAATAAATGTAGTGGAATATGATACAGCTCCAAAAAAGACAAAATCATGAATTTGTTGCAAGGCGAATAGAACTGGAGGATATCATACATGGCAAAGTATGTCAGAAGGAGAAGGTTAAATACCAGATTATCTCACTCATCTGTGAAATATAGTATGACTAAACAAAAGACAACTGATGATAGCTAGTGATAAACTCTTGACCTGGAATTACAATACTGATCACAAAAACGTTGAGGGAGGGTGAAGAGGGTGAGGGTGAGAGGGAATGGTGATTGAACTAGAGGTGACACATAGGGACCATGGTGGATGGTTGTGGGCACATTGGTGGCGGGGAATGCAGTAACTTTGTATTGTACATTAATACTGTATACTTTGATGCTAGCGTAAGCATCTAACTAAAACTGTAACTTTAAAAATTTAATAACAAAATATTAAAAGTAAAAACAGTTGTTAACTGAACACTTATAGGACCACTCCAAGAATTAGGAGACCAGAGTTTTGACTCCAGATCCATAATTTCATGCCAAGTTCATTCTCTTAGAGCTAGAAAGAGAGGCCATGTGGGGGAATGCCTTTTCTACATTAATTGTTCTCATTAGTTTTCAAATAATCATTTCATTGTTAAGAAAGTAAAATATGCACAAAAACTTTAAGTCCAGTAGCAGAAAAGAAAAAATAGCCTAGAATTAACAAATTGATAGCAGTACACTGATGATTTTCAATGTGGTTTATAAATTTTGCTTAAATATTATATCCCATTACCTTAATTTTCTGTGTGTAATGCAAATGTCACTATGGTTGATATTTCCCCAGAAAGATATTTTACTTATTTTTAAATTTTTTAAAAAAGACCTATTTTTTTAATGCATACCAAAGCTACAACTGTTGATACTATTCTAGAGTTGAAATTGATTAGCTAACAAAGATCTAGCATTAAAAGCAATAAGTATAAAAATCAATTTTTACGTGAGTATTGTTATGTTTTATCATGGGGTTGCTATGTCCTTGTCTAAGAATTTAACTAAGTTGTTTGCTGCTAGTATCATTATTGCTTTTGTTTGTTGAGTTTTGTTGGTTTCTATGTTACTGTGATTGCTTTTAATAAATCATTTCAAACTTCAAGATATTTTGTTTGCAACATCTTTTTTTACTATGTTTTAGGACATAGATAGCAATATGGGTATATCAAAGAATGTGAATTTTTTTTTGCCGCATCTTTTTGTTTGTTCGGTTAAAGGAATAGATTTTTGAAGTTGGGGGATGTGCGTAATGTTTTTCTGCAAAGAGGCAGCCAAAATGAGTTTGGGAACCTGTGCTTTAGACGAAGCAATGAATACACCGAGATAAGACCTGGCTGTACTCCTCTGGGACAAGTTCAACCAGAAGGATAAGAAAATTTTCAGATTATCTTGAACTCACCCTTCTCCCCACCGCCCCCCACCGCCCCCCCCCCCCCCCCCCCCGGTGCTAATCAGCCAGCCATTCTGTGTCAGATCTCTGTCTTTCTAAAGGAAACTTCTGGTCTAACACACTCTCCTTCCTGAGCTGTCTGCGCACCAGCGTCTTCTTCCCAAACCTCTGCCCTCTGCCCAGTGTTGGTCCTTTAAGGCTGCAGGAAGACTGTCGCCCATGGGTACAAGTCAAGGATACGCTGCAGAGTCTCCACATGCCTTCTGGTGCTGCAGGGGGCCAACGATGTCCCCCTCTACCCCCTTCTAGCCAGAAAACTCCAACGTGTGTGTGGTGTGCTGCAGAAGCGGAACTCTCTTCTGCTGTGATTCTTGCCCCAGATCCTTCCACAAGCGCTGTCACATCCAGTACATCAATCCCAAAAGGTTGGTGATGCCTGACCCCTTTCCCCTCCCCCTCCCCCTCCCCCTCCTTCATCTCCTCCCCCTCCCTTCCCCTCCCCTCCCTCCCTCCCCTCTCCCCTCCCTTCCCCCTCCCTCCTCCCTTCTTCCCTTTCCCTTCCACCAATTCCTCCCCCTTCCTCCCCTCCCTCCCCCTCACCCCTCTCCCTTCCCTCCCCTCCCTCCCTCTTTCCTTCCTCCTTCCCTCCCTTCCTCCCTCCTTCTTTCTTTTCTTTTCCTTCTTTCCTTCCTTCCTTCCTTCCTTCTTTTCTTCCTTTCTTTCTTCCTTCTTTTCTTCCTTCCTTTCTCCTTTCTTCCCTCCTTTCTTCCTTTCTTTCTTCCTTCCTTCCTCCTTTCTTCCTTCTTCCTTCCTTTCTTTCATTTCTTTCCTTTTTTTTGTGAATCACCATGAGATGCACAGTAAGAAAGTTGTTCATGATTGGGTTTCAGTCATACAATCTTCCAACACTGTCCCTTTACCAGTGTACATTTCCCACCACCAGTGTCCCACATTTCCTCCTGTCCCCCTCCCACCACCACCTCCCACTTTTCTTCTCTCTTTCTCCCTCTCTCTCTCCCCCTCTCCCTTTTGAGCATTATCCTTTGGAATTCAGGCACTAAAAGGTTATCATGTTTGTTCCTTTACCGCCTTTCAGCACTCAGTTCTTGTCCAGAGTGATTTCCAACTATCATTGTCATAGTGGTCCCTTCTCTGTCCTACCACCCCCCACTACCACTTGTGGTAGGCTTCCAACCATGAACCATTCCTCCTGGACCTTGTTTCTATTGTTCTTGGATTTTAGTCTCATACTCTGAGTATTTTTTATATCCCACAAATGGATGAGTGCAATCATTCTATGTCTGTCCCTCTCCCTCTGACTTATTTCATGACTTATTTCACCAGCATATCCATTCATTTATACATGAATTTCATGACTTCATTTTTCCTAGTAGCTGTATAGTATTCCATGTGTAAATATATCATAGTTTTTTTTTAATCCAGTCATCTGTTCTCAGTACCAGGGCTGTATCCAGATTCTGGCTATTGGGTCACACCCAGCGATGCTCAGGGTTTACTCCTGGCTCTGTACTCAGGAATTACTCCTGGCAGTGCTTGGGGGACCATATCAGATGCCAAGGATTGAACCCAGGTCTGCCATGTGCAAAGCAAATGCCCTCCCTGTTCTCCTATTGCTCTGGCCCCAATGCCCTTCTTTCTTAAAGAGCAACTCTCCCTTGGGGTTGGCTTCTGCTCCACCATGCATAACAAGCCTTTAAAGGCTCCATGTGTGGGGCTGGAGTGATAGCACAGCAGATAGGGCGTTTGCCTTTCACGCGGCCCAATCCAGGTTCGATTCCCAGCAACCCATATGGTCTCCCGAGCACCGCCAGGAGTAATTTCTGAGTGCATGAACCAGAAGTAACCCCTGTGCATCGCTGGGTGTGACCCTCACCAAAAAAGCAACATAAAGACTGCATGTGGCTGCATGTGTCTGGCACGATCCAGAAATATGACCAGAGAGATAGCACAGCGGGCAGGGCACTTATCTTGCACAAAGCCCACCCAGGTTCTACCCCCGGCATCCCATATGGTCCCCCAAGCCCCTTTAGGAGTTAAAGGAGTTATCCCTGAGCGCAGAGCCAGCAGTAAGCCCTAGTACCACTAGCTGTGTCCCCAACCTCCAAATAAAAAAAAATTTTTTTAAATGTATAAAGAAAGAACTATATCTTGAGGCGACAACGGATTCTGGCAGTCACCAAAAACTCTGTTGTTTGTGGTTATGGGGTGTCAGAGAAAGAGGTCACACCACTGAACCCCCCCTCCAGTACACTTGAATGGGGAGGATAACACCCATACATTCAGGTTTAAATTGCCACCCATTGCCTCTTTTGCAAACCACAACACCCAATAGGAGAGAGAGAGAGAACAGAAGGGAATGCCCTGCCACAGAGGCAGGGTGGGATGGTGGGGGGGGAGGGATACTGGAATCCGTGGTGGTGGGAAATGGGCACTGGTGGAGGGATGGGTACTTGATCATTGTATAATTGAAACCCAAGCACAAAAGCTTGTAAGTCTACAACTGTACCTCATGGTGTCTCACTAATAAAAATAAAAAATAAAATATGCACCCCTTACTGAGGAGGTGATGAAAAAGTTGAAAGTGTTGGAGCTTGTGCCCAGCCCTCGAGGCCACTGTCCCTGGTTCATAGACCCACACTAAGACCCTTAAATCTGGGGTTCACTGAACAAGCACTAAGTGTGGCCAGGGACCAGGTCAAAAGGAATGACCCCTCTCAGGAGGTTGCCCTGAGCCTCCCGGCACGCACAGAGCCCCGGAGAGAGGATGGCGGGAATGAGCGTAGGGTGCATGCAAGGTTTATGGGCCCATTTCCTCCCCCAGGGACTTTCGTAGCTCCTGTTCTGGGCATTAGCCACCGGGCAGCTGGGAAGATGCCTGTGGCTTCTGCCTGTGGCTCTTTCAGCCAAGTGGTGGCTGACTTGGACTCTAGTCTGGGGGCTCATCAAGGCCCCGCACGCTGGGACCTTCCATAACTGCTTTCCAGTACTCGATTCTGGCAGACTCAAGGTCAGGCTGGTGTGGCTCCAATGAGAACCCAAGTTTTGAGAGCCATGAGCATCTGTTAGCCCAGATGTCCCCCTGGCCACCCCTGCCTTTGGAGAGCGACTATTTTGAGCCCCGCGATGGGATTTCCTGTGGAGCAGGAGGAAACCATGAGCTTCAGCGGCTGTCCGGGTGGCAGCTGATAACTCCCTGGAAAGCAGCCTTTGCCCATACCGTTTCTGATTTCTCAGGGATCCGTGGTTTTGCATCTTCTGCTCAGTCCAGAATATCCAGGAAAATTCCTCCCAGAATCAGAGTTATCGTGAATCTGAAGTCCTGATATGGCCGATGGATTATAGAAATGACTTGGTGAGTTAAAATATTAGCCTGAAGTCTGTTCCTTTCTGTTTACAGGAGAGAGGGGGCGGGGGTGGGGGCGTGCTGTGTGGGGTGTGTGTGTGTGTGTGTGTGTGTGTGTGTGTGTGTATTGGTGGTTCCTGGGTACAGAGCTGTTTCTAGCTGTTTGGATGCCACACCCTCACAGCAAAGTCCTTATTGCAGACAAACCCAAACCCATGTTTGTTTGTGTGTGTGCGTGTGTGAGGGGGGGGGGTGATTTGGGAGGAAGGGTCAGGGGATTGTTGTGTGCAGGGGGAGCCATGCTTTCTGCCTCTACGAGCTCATTTCCTCCAAACTTCTCATCACTTAAAATCTCTCTTGCAGAAGTGTAAGTTCCTCCTCTTGATGTTATATAGTTATTTTAAGAGCTCCTTTTATGTCCAAGAACCCTATCATGTAAGTATCAGCAACAAAGCCCCAAGTGTCTGTCTCTTTTGTGATGTGAGAGCAAGGGGCCCCACTTGCCTTTCTCCATACTCCTGGGGCGTCTTGGGGGAGCCCCTCTCAGCTGTCCAGGCTGCAGTGGGGGCTAACCACCCACGGGGGTGGGGGGGGTGGGGGACTGCTTCCTCCCAGCTCTGAGGCTGCAGGTCCAAGAAGACTGCGTGCCAGTCCTAGAAGCAGCCCCTAATGCTGTGCTCACTTAGGATGCTGAGGATTCCAGCAGAGACCGGGGAAGGAGTGCGCCCATACCGCTCAGTTGGGAGGCCTGTGGAAGCCCCCCACTCACTGCCTGCCCGCTCACCCCTTTGCCCACAGGGTATAATGCACACGCCGGGGGACTACAGGTCCAAGTGTTTAAACACAATCAGGCAAAAGCTTCGTCAGAAGAAATACATGCAAGTGGGGGCCTTTGTGAGAGACATGCGGCACATTGTTGAGAGCCACAAGACGTTTTTCGAGGTAGGTGACACCCCCTGCTGTCTCCTGTCGGGTCACTCACTTTACCCTTATCTTGGATGGATGGGGTCAAAGCTGCCAACCAGATGGGATACCCAGCCAGCCGGGTGGGAAGGAATCTGACCTCTAGAGCGAACAACCAATCAGAAGGTGCCATTGCCTTCCCAGGGTCTCGGCCGGGCTCCCTCCTTAGAGAGGACATTTTCCATTACAGAGGGAGCTTCTGCGGACCTCTACCTTGCAAGGAAGCAGACTTAGTTAAGTTTAGGGGGCACTCCCGCAGTGCCAGGGGCTGCTCCTGGCTCTGCTCAGGATCACTGAGCATATGTGGTGCTGGGGATCACATATGCTGCTCTTGGACCCACTACCCATGTGATTTGGGGGCCACAGGTTACTGGATGTTGGGGATACTGGAATAGAACCCACGGCCTCATCTATGCAAGGCAGTTGGTGCTCCAACACAGAGCCACGTCCTGGCACCACTGACCAAGAGTCAGGATGACAGAGTGCAAGGCAAGAGCCATAGTCAGCTCCTGTATGATCTCTCCAGCCCATCCATTTATTTATTTATTTATTTATTTTTGCTTTTTTGGGTCACACCCAGCAATGCACAGGGGTTACTCCTGGCTTGTGCACCCAGGAATTACTCCTGGCGGTGCTCAGGGGACCATATGGGATGCTGGGAATCGAACCTGGGTTGGCCGAGTGCAAGGCAAATGCCCTACCCGCCATGCTATCACTCCAGCCCATCCATTTAAAGTGTTCAAACAAATGTCTCAGGTTTCAAAATCTTGGGCATCATCTCTTCAGAGCTGAATTTCCTAGTTTTATGTCAAAAAGTGAACAAGGGATCCCTCAAAGGTGCGAATGAAAGGGGAAGAGGCCATTTATCTACCTTAGACATTTCTGTGCTATTGTGTTCTTACAAATAATATTTGTGTGCTCACCAAGGAAATAACCAACACTTTAAAAATTAGATGTTTTATAAATTCATCTGGCAAGCTCCCCATGGCGTATTCGATATGCCGAAACCCAGTAACTATGATGGGTCTCATTCTCCTGACCCTGAAAGAGCCTCCAATGTGGCACTTGCTAAAATCTCAGGGCTAGGGCGAATGGAGACGTTATTGGTCCCTGCTCGAGGAAATTGATGAACAATGGGATGACAGTGATACAGTGATAAATTCATCTAATGAAAAATACTCTTCTGATGAAAAGTTAGACTGTAGTCTTTTTTGGGAGGGACTTCTCTGCCTCCCAAATAAAGATCAGTAATCCAAGCAATCATGAATTATCAGTTACTGTTAGCTGAGTTAATTCTTACTGAACATTTGGAATGATTAAACTGAAATTTCTCTCCAGCTGGAGCGATAGCACAGCAGTAGGGCGTTTGCCTTGCACGCAGCCAACATGGCCGACCCGAGTTCGATTCCTCCACCCCTCTCGGAGAGCCCGGCAAGCTACCGAGAGTATCTCGCCCACACGGCAGAGCCTGGCAAGCCACCCGTGATGTATTTGATATGCCAAACACAGTAACAACAAAATCTCCAGTGGAGACGTTACTGGGCCCGCTCGAGCAAATCGATGAACAACGGGAGGGCTTTACCTTTTTAAACTGAAATTTCAGATTATCTGAGGCAATGGTAACAACTGTGATCATTTTTGTCTCTGTCTTTCCAGGACCAAAGTGTCATCATTCTGGGATTTCAACTGGAGAAGCAATTTGAGGACAATTTCAAAGCCATTTTTGCAATTCAGTGAGAAACAAGAAGAGTTTTCCGTCTGAGCCTATTTTTTCCTAATGTAGCTTCTATCTCCTTCAGAACCCCTGGAGCACCAGAAATTGCTCCCACAAACAACAAACATCTCATTTAAGCCGATAGATGCTCAGGGTCTATTTCATGCAACAGACAAAACGATTAGTCTGGAAATTCTTTTCATCAGGGGTGTGGTTTGATGAGAGAGCACATGACTCACAAGCCTTAAGACCCTGAGTGTGGTCCCCAGAACTGCAAAAGAAACGAAAGGATTTAGCTTGTGGGTCATCTAACAAGCTACCAAATTTAATACAGAAATTTCTAGAGCTACCTTTGTATTCCAAGATTTTTTTTTCCGGGCAAATATTCTTTTCTCCTAATAAGTCTGTCCAGAGTAGAAGAGTATTCAATGTTAATGGGATTTAGAAAATAATGAGAGGAAAACTAATTTGCATTAGAAAGTATTAAAAATCCTGACCCTTCATACGACCCACCGTCAGGATTGAGATGTCATGATTATCTTCTCTTCCTACCTTTCTAAATTTTCTATTTCGCATTGTAAAGTGAGAAGAAAAAAATACCTTAAGCAGGGGCTGGAGAGGTAGTACAGTGGGTGGGGCGTTTGCCTTGCACGCAGCTGACCAGCATCCCATATGGTCCCCTGAGCACTGCCAGGAGTAATTCCTGAGTGCAAAGCCAGGAGTAACCCCTGTTCATTGCCGGGTGTGACCCAAAAAGAAAAAAAATCCTAAACATTGATGTGCTTTAGTTTCCTCATGAATAAAACAGGGTTATGGTTGATACCCATCCCTGCATACAATATCCAGAGCACACCAGGAGCCGACTCCTGAGAACAGCTGGTGTGGCCCAAACCTCCCCTTAAGAAGACAGCACTACCAACATTTGTATTGCCTTATGACTCATGATTGTTGTACAGTTAAAATAATATTTGAGGACTTTGGGCGTGGAGTGATAGTACAGTGGGTAGGGCACCTGCCTTGCACACGGCAGACCCAGGTTTGGTCCCTGGCAACCCATATGGTCCCTTGAGCACCACCAGAAGTAACTCCTGAGTGCAGAGCCAGAAGTAACCCCTGTGCATTGCTGGGTGTGACCCAAAAAGACAAAAGGGAGAAAAAAGATTTGGGGGGTTAGGCTACCCCCAGCCATGCTTAGTAGCTGCTCCTGGCTCTGCACTGAGGGATCCTTCCGGTTCAAGAGCTTGGGAAATTATTTGAGGTACTGGACATTGGCAGTATGAAAGGCAAGAAGCACCTTAACTCCTGGACTATCTCTCTGGGCCCATACTTTATTTATTTTTTTTATTTATATATATATATATATTTTATTTTTGGGCCACACCCAGCGATGCTCAGGGGTTACTCCTGGCTCTGCACTCAGGAATTACTTCTGGGGTTGCTCAAGGGATCATATGGGATGCCAGGGAGTAATTTCACTCAGGAATTACTCCCAGCGGTGCTTGGGGGACCACGTGGGATGCCAGGGATTGAACTTGGGTTGGTCACGTGGAAGGCAAACACCCTACCCACTGTGCTATTGCTCCGGCTCCTGGGCCTGTAGTTTAAAGTTTGACAAACTGACTCTCTGGCCCTCAAACTTTTTTTTTGTAAACTCCTTCGATAAACCACCCCATACTCATTGGCACCAAGAAGGCAAAAATGATCTGAAACTTAATGTAGTATTACAGATTTTATGATGGTGCATACCTGAAATGTGAAAGTTCATACCGCAATATTAATTTAATGTAAAATTATCTTTAAAAAAAGAAAAAAACTATCATTTTCAAAATCTGGGGGAGAGTTCAATAATTAAGATACATCTAACAAAAAAAAATATACAAGAAAGCTACTCTATTCTGAAACACCAAGAGAATTTAAAGAAGGCCAAAGCAAATGGAAAAATACATGTTTGTGGACTGAAGAATAAACATTGTCAAGGTGTAAATTCTCTCCAATTCAGCACTGGATCCAGTTTCCATAAATTTAGGAAAATTGGGGCAAATAATCACCTCCAGACTTGAGCACTTCAGCCACTGTCTTCCCACAATTATCATCACCATAATCACCAACACCAACACCTCTATCACAAACCTCACTGGCATCCACCATTATCCCCATCATCACCACATCTCCAATATCACCGCAGCATCACCAACATCACCCCCACCATCACCAACATCATCCCCACCATCACCCCCACCATCATTAACATCACCCTCACCATCACCAGCATCACCCCGTATCCTGGGACCTTGGGAAATGCAGGCTGTAATCCCATGTCTCTGACGCCCAGCATGGCAATGTGAAAGTTGATTGGCATAGAGGGTTGGGGAGAGTTCAATTAAATGTTAATTTTTAAAAAATAAAGCAAGATTTTTATAGAAATTGACAAACTTTATTTATTTTTAGTATTTAAAAACTTTATTGAAGTTCTGTGATTTAAAGTGCTGTTAATAATGGTTTCCATGTACATAATTCTGACCCCATAACCTATCACAAGACAAACTGATTTTGAAATATTAGTAACCTAAAATGAAAATGGAAAAAGCCAAGTTCAGCCAAGACAAGCTTTTTATAAAAAATAAAAATATTAACTCACTATGAAGTTACAGGGATGAAAACATTTAATAGAGGCTAAAAGAGCTATGGATCAGTAGAGTCGAGAACCAAACATACTTGGCCCCCAGATTTAGAATGGAGACACCACTGCATTTCAGTAGGGAAAGGATGGCCCTTTCATTATGTGGTGCTGGAGTAATTGAATACCTTACCACACTCAAAAATTAAGATGGTTCATAGCCTTAATATGGAAGGCAAAGGGTAGGAAAGGGGAGGGAGGGAGGGAGGGAGGGAGGGAGGGAGAAGAAAGAAAAGAAGAAAGAGAAGGAAACAACGAAGAAAAAAAAAGAAAAGGAAGGAAGGAAGGAAGGAAGGAGAGAAAGAAGGAAAGAAAGAAGGAAGGAAGGAAGGAAGGAAGGACGGAAGGAAGGAAGGAAGGAAGGAAAGAGAGAGAGAAAGAAAGAAAGAAAGAAAGAAAGAAAGAAAGAAAGAGAGAGAGAGAGAAAGGAAGGAAGGAAGGAAAGAAAGAAAGAAAGAAAGAAAGAAAGAAAGAAAGAAAGAAAGAAAGAAAGAAAGAAAGGATTAGAGACACACTACAGAGCTCAGGCACTTGCCTAGCAGGCATTCAACCCAGGTTCCAATTCCTGTTACCATGGATGGTACCTGAGCTGAACCAGGAATAATTCCTGAACCCAGAGTCAGGAGTAAGTCCTGAGTATTGACAGTGTGGCCCCTCCACCAAAAAAAAAAAAAAACAGGGATGGAAGGGGGGAGGATGGATTAAACAAACCCTAAATAAATGGATGAAGACCTTATATTCAGGGATTAGGAGATCTAAAATTGTTAGCATGCAATATGGCCCAAAGTAATATATAGCATATCATCACCCATCAAAATTCTAAGGACATTTTTCACAGAAGTATAGGAACTTATTGTCTAATTGTTTTTTTTTTTTTTAGAAAAATGCCTGGCAATACTTAAGGCTTACTCCTGACTACTCAGGGTTCACTCCTGGCAGTCTTTGAGGAACTATATCTGGGGCAGGGGATTAAACAAGGGTGCCAACCCCAGATAGTACTCTTTCTGACCCTTATCATCAAATTTATATGGAATTACAAGATTTCAAAGGGTCAAAACAATACTGAAAAAAAAATAAAGTTGGAAGACTCATATTACCTGACTTTGAAATACACTACAGTGCTATCGTCGTTAAGACAATATGGGCTGACATAAAAATAGACATATGAAATAGTATAGATCACTTAATCACTTAACTTTCCATTAGTAATCGATTTGCTCGAGTGGGCGCCAGTAACGTCTCCATTTGTCCCTGTCGCGTGCTAGTGTAGCCCAATGATATCTGTTCGCTCTGGGAACTTGAAGAGCCTCAAACTGATCTTTCATGATCTTGATGAAGAAGTCTGACCATCTGGTAGGTGGGCGGCCACGCGGTCTTTTGACATCCCGTGGAATCCAGTCTGTAGCAGCTCTAGTCCAGCGGTCATCTTTAAATCTCATTACGTGACCAGCCCATCTGATTTTTGACACCTTGGCAAATGAGACAGCAGCCCTGATTCTTGATCGTCGATGGATGTTGGAACTCCGGATTCTTTCTCTCATTTGAGTGAAACGTGATATTCCAAGCATAGCTCTTTCTATTCTTCTTTGGGAGGCCTGAATAGCGTTCTCATCTTGTTTGCGTAGGGCCCAGGTCTCTGAGGCATATGTTAATGCAGGAAGAACAGTGGAATCAAAGAGATGTGCCCGGAGCCGGAGGTTCTTCGTCCTCTTAGCTATTTCTTTGACGTTCTTGAAGGCGTTCCAAGCCGCTCTCTTCCTCCTGTGCAGCTCGGGTGCCAGGTCATTTGTCATGTTGACCTCTCGACCTAGGTACACATAGCTGTTGCATTCGGAGATGGTCGTTCCGTTGAGAGCGAATGGGGCATCAGGAACGAGGCTGTTTCTCATAAACATTGTCTTCGTAAGATTCAGCTGTAGTCCTACCTTTGCACACTCACAGTCAAAGTTGGCCAACATTTGTGCTGCTTGGCTAATGTTTGGTGTTATTAAAACAATGTCATCAGCAAAGCGGAGGTGGTGTAGTTGCTGACACTACCTCCATTACCCAGCCGCCACCGCACTCCAGGATGCTTTCCGGACCCACGTGGCAGCTCCGACCGAGACTCACACACGACTGAAGACCCACAGAACAAGATAAGCGGAACTCTCTGAGACCTTGGACTCCAGGCTCGGTGGACCCAGGGACAGAGATTCTCTGCTTGGTCCCACCAACCACAGGTGACAAAGGGATTCTAATCAGGAGCCCAACCCTACCCTGCCCTGTCTGCTTCCACCAACCACCCAGGGATCGGATTGCGCACAGAAGACCCACCTACCCCTGCCGGGACCAGATAAATACCCCACTGGCAGACCCCCACTATTGACACTACCTCCACTACCCAGCCGCCGCCACACTCCAGGACGCTTTCCACCACACTCCAGGACGCGAAGTGGCCGCGCGACACATCATAAGACCCTAAATACCCATCTTCCGGAATTGTCGTACCATATTTGATAGGGTTCAAATATGGTAACACCTACAAGGGCGGTTAGAGGTCGCCCCAAAAGCCTCTATCCCTCTCGGAAAGACTGGCAAGCTACCGAGAGTATTCCGCCCGCATGGAAGAGCCTGGCAAGCTATCCGCTGTGTATTCGATATGCCAAAACCAGTAACTACAACTGGTCTCATTCACCTGACCCTGAAGGCTTCACCAACATGGCAGCACTGAGAAGGATGAGAAAGGAGAGGCCGATAAAATCTCAAGGCCGAACTAGGCTGCCACAACGAAGGAAGACAAAAATGATCATCTGTACTTTCAATGCACGTACGCTAGCATCAGATGCACCCATCGAGGACCTGATGGTACAAGCGCGAATGATCAAGTACAACATCATTGGTCTGACCGAGACAAGAAGACACGAATCTCACCATGCCGTTTTCGACACTGGAGAAGAATTGTTCCTCGGAACATGCGATTAAAGAGGTGTCGGAGGCGTCGGTGTCCTTGTCAACACATACTTGGCCAAGAGCATTGATTCATTCGAATGCCTAACAACCGGAATCGGACTTTACATTTGAATAGATGTGGCTCACTGCCGGCAGTTTCTATCTTGGTTGTCTACGCATCAACATCTCATTATGATCACACAGATCACAGATCATCCTGTTATTCGTCGATTGCCTCGAGCAGGCCCCAGTAACGTCTCCTTCATCCTAGCCCTGAGATTATATTCAAGGCTCTTTAGGAGAATGAGACCCATCATTGTTACTGGTATTTGGCATATTGGGTACGACACAGGGAGTTTGCCAGACTCTGCCGTGTGGGCAGGTTACATTCGGGAGCCTGCCAGTTTGTCAAAGTAGGAATGAGATGTCATAATAAAATTATCTCATTATGATGAAAGAGAAATCGAGAAGTTCTACATGGAGCTGGAGAAGTTCTATAAAGAAGACCACACCTTCTACAAGATCATTGTGGGTGATTTTAATGCCACGATAGGACCGAGAAGATCAGCTGAAGAACTTCACATCGGGACCCATGGCCTAGAATGGAACGAACAGGGTGAGAGACTGTCTGAGTTCATCATGTCGACCAAGACCATCCATGGTAACTCACAGTTCCAGAAGGCAGAATCTAAACGATGGACATGGGAGTCTCCCGGTGGACGATTCCACAACGAAATAGACCACATCATATTCAATCGACGGTTTTGCCTGACCGATGTCGCTGTTGTCCCAAAATTCCGAATGGGATGGGACCACCGTCTCCTTCGTGCAAAATTCTACTTCACAGAGCAGGGAGAAAGGGCTGCAAAGTTCAAAAAGAGAACTCCCAGGATGACCACCAACTGGGAACTCTTTGGCACTATTGTGGCAACATGGGAAGATGCCATTGTTGACAACATTGACGAGGAATACGATCGACTGGTTCAGCACCTCCGTGAATGTGCGAGGAACACCAAGAGAGAGATAGCCACAAAAAAACGCCTGTCTTCGAAAACTCCTGAGCTAATTCGCCAGCGTGGTTTGGCGCATGCCTCAGGCAACCGCAAGCTAATGTCCAAGCTGGCAAAGCATTGCAGAGATGCAATCAAGGAAGACCTCAAAGAGAGAAGAGCAGAAGTGCTGGTAGATGCAGCAGAAGCTGGGAAAAGTATTCATAATGCCCGCCTGTCCTTCGCCAACTACAAGACCAAGATGACTGCCCTTCGATGTCCTGATGGATCCATCACATCCTCCAGAACGGCAATGGAGAAGATTATCCATGACTTCTACTCAAATGTCTTCGATAGCCATGTCCACTTGCCGAAATACGACCACAGGATGGATATGTCGTTCCCAACGTTCTCCCTTCCGAAATCCGACACGCCATTTCGTTGGTAAAGAAACAAACAGCACCCGGCCCAGACAAGGTCAGACTTGAACACCTGAAGAACCTGCCGCCAGTACTCATCAATACACTGGCTCGGTTCTTCACCTGTCTGAATGCAAGTTTCTGTCCCATTGGAAAACCAGCAGGACCGTACTACTGTTCAAGAAGGGAGACATCCATGACATTGGCAACTATTGCCCGATCTGCCTATTGTCTGTCATCTACAAGTTGTTCACTCAAGTCATCCTAAATAGGATTGGCAGAACACTAGATGAAGGACAACCATGCGAGCAAGCCGGGTTCCGCAAAGGATTCAGCACCATCGACCATATCCACACGATAACCAAGCTCATTGAGGTTTCTCAGGAGTTCAAGATGCCG